TATGCCCTTTATGATCAGTAAAGTAGACAATGTAAATTACTAACAATCAAATCTTGACCTAAGATCGGTATCGATTTTAGGCATCGAGCGCCCTGGATTATATTATATGAGACTGTAATTATGTAACTTTGACGCCCCTTTCTGTCCAATGCCCTGGGCGGATGGCCAAACCTCGCCCTGCCTTAATGCCGACACCGCCAATGAATTAGGAATATTCTTTGACATTTCCAATAAAGTAAAGCGTGGAAAGGTATCCAAATCTGCTTTACTATGTGTAGTTACTTTAATTGCATTATGAAGAAAAGATGCACTATTTAACTGCTTTATTGAAAGACAGTCACACAGAGGAACATTTGCATATCTTAAAAATCTGTATTTCTTTCATAAATCACGTATTCTGACGTTATAATTTATTTCAATACAATTGTTTTAATCAGTTCCTTCTATTACATGCGTAGTTTGTTGCCCAAGGTCGTGTTGAGGATGTACTGGTCTCTAGACCGGAGGTGAGTGACATTACCTTGTGAATTGACGTTCACGATTCTAATCACGTACATGAAATCATATTTTATTTACATAGCTCCTGTTTTACTGTAGCAACTAGAAGTATTAAACATATATAACAATTGTGACATCTTACATTTGAACTATTTTTTTTTAATTTTCTATCGAAGACCAAATCATTATTAAAAATATTAGTAATATTTTATATTACCTTCTTTATTTATATTTAATAGGTACGTATTATAGCAAAGGTAAAAACATAGTTTTGTATTTACACATACACAACAAAGATTTGCATATTGATGGTTGCAGATGTTAGTAAATTATGACGGGCCTTAAATAAATATCAACTCATAATAGCGCCACAAACATTATTGTATTCAAATCTTCATCTATACATATAATAAAATTGGAGTGTCTGTTTGTAATACCAAAGGAAAAATTCCAGATTTCGGAAAGATCATGTATTTGCATTGCTGATGACAAAAATCGCATTAAAAAATTTGTAATCTTCGAAACGGCTGGAAGTATTTCGACCGTATTTTCACTGAAGGGTAGCAGACATAGATGGGCATATTATAGGCTATATACTTTATCTTAATATTGCGTAGACGAAGTCACGGGCAACAGCTACTTTATTAATACCTGATCAACAAAACATAAATAGAAGATATTAATATTGTATTATACAATAACTTAGCCTTCACACAACCTGTTGGCCTGATAACCTTAATATGGACCGACAAATAACAAATAAAATATATTTGAGTGACAATAAGTATGACTCGTACACATGACCTGTAACAATATATTTTTATATTTGATATTTTAACCTTCAATGTTTTGAAACTGTAATTAAAATAGCTCTTGTTCGCGAGTATTATCCGTGAAATTAAAAACGATATAGCCTATGTTAATCAGGGATAACGTAGCTTTTTAATGGTGAAGGAATTTCTAAAATCGGCCCAGTAACTTTTGAATTATTTTAATACGTACAAAAATATAAATCTTTCCTCCTTATAAATTTACAATGTTTTTATCCATACATATGCATAACTAATGAGTTTATCATCGTGAAAATTATACTTAAATAGTAGTGAATAGTGGTTTTTTTTTTTTTTATATAACAAAAGGTGGCAAACGAGCAAGCGGCCACCTGAATCCGCCAAAATAGCGAAGCGACCGCTGCCCATAGACATCCGCAATTGCAAATGCGTTACCTACCCTTATCCGACAGAGGAGGAGATGCAAATAAAGAGGATATTTCCCCTTCCTATGTATCTCCTCCTCCGTGAAATCCACTTTCCCTTCCCATCCTCTCCTTATAAGAAAAGGGCGGTAAAGAGAAAGGGACTTAAATTAGGCCTCCGGCACCACACTCATCAGACGAAACACGGAATTGCTTCCATTTCACGCCTGTCTTCTGTGTGGTCGTGGTATTACACCGGGCGTGCCGGCCCATTCGTGCTAAGATGTTAAAGCGGGCACTACCACTGTGAAATACCTGTCACTATACCTGATACGGGTCACTGATACCTGATACGTGATAACCACAAGTCTGTAAAGACTCAAGCGACGAAGAAGAAGAAGTAGTAAATATTGCTTTATCATCATCTTCAGAAAATTTTTCATAGTCTATACCACCCAACATACGAATTTCGCTAAAATAAAACAAAGTTTTTTCGAAACATACTTTTGTCAGAGTCTTACGCAGCTATGTATGAAATAACTAAATAGAATTTTAAAATTTTCAACGAGCGTTAAGTATGACAATCGTTTAGTTATGGTTAATTGTTATGAAAATGAGTTTGTTAAAAGAAGCATAACATTCCATTACTTTAATGATATATAATATTTCTACATAAAAAACAAAGGTTTGCCCCATAACATAGACGATAAAACGGCTAACAACGGATGATAATCTCTTACATATAACCACTCTAAGTTTAGAAAATGTTTAATTTAAGTACAAATAAACTGTCTACTATGAACATAATATGCATTTAAATAAAAAAAAAGGAGATTAACAATTTTAAATCTAAATCTAAAATAAACATCAACCATAACAAAGAAACAGCCATTAACCATGACATTACAACATTCTAAATGAAATAGTAGTACGTAATAAAAGCAAATATTTAAACATGCAAGGTAACACTAGATGTTGCAATACAACCAATAATGAAAGTCATGCAACTTAAATATAAAAAAGTACCTACAATTTAAATATCCACCATTTTCTATTGAAAAGGAAACTCGTTTATAATTCAGTACCGCGTCTGGCAATTAAGACGTCTGAATGTTTTAAATTGATACTCTTTATCCTGTTTATGATCCATAACGGCCGTGGCATCTATCCCGCCCTTGCTATCACCGATGGCATTCCAAGGTCTACGAGCTCTAGCCTCACAATTGTTCCTTCACCAACTCCCGACCTTTTCCGCCAGCGAACGGTTTCCGGGTAAAGTGTTCTAAGTAAAGAAAAAGTAATGTTACCTTTGTATTAACATTTTAGATTATTTTGTAAAAGTTCTAAATTTAAATATTACCTGTACCTTATTTAAAAAAATAAATTAAGAAGTAATTTTTATCCTAGTAGGTATACTTAAGTGCATGTTGCGATAAAAGTTACACTTATTTTTGTATCATTTTGGAAGTCAAATCTGTTTACAAAGACGAGCAAGTATCGAAGTAAGAAAAACATTTTAAAAAACAATCATATCATAAATGTATAATTAAGAAATAATAATCCTCATTGACAAACATCTCGTTATTCAAGTCACGTTAAAGGCCGTCAGTTTTTCCTCGAATCAATTATATTTATTACCGTCTCAATGACCGATCGAATTTCCGTATAAGTACAATGCCCTATGATTTCCTTTATTTTTTTTAATCAAGGCAAATCGTACAATGATCAATTTAATTCAGCACGAAAAGAAAACAATTTTATATCCAAAATGTTTTAACCTTCCCGGATTTTATTAGTTTTGTTTGAAATTAAATTTATTTCGTAAATGTTCATAATTACTGAACGGTAATAAAGACGTAGGTATATTTTTATGTTAATGTATTCTTCCGGTTGTCGATAAAAAGCACAGAATATGGATACCGAGTTCCGAGTTCCGTTCGAATAATGTATAACTATGTCAAGATCTTTTAACCATGAACGTAAAGGCCAACAGTATTTTTTGCTGACTCGAACTTCAATCGAAGCAAGTTTATTTTTAAATAGTTGTATAATAGTTTTGCTATTTTAATATATACGTTGGCTACGTGAATTACGCTGTGGTATGTTTAATAGATATTAATTCTGTGCAATTATGTTGTATTTTACGTATCGTATCCATGCAATATAACACCTGTTTATGATGTCATTACTATAAATTAATCAAACGCCTCTGAATATTAATACATTCCTTTGTTTCGATATAAATTTTTAATTCACATCATGATTGTAACTAAGTACTTACTAATTAATGTTAATTCTTTCCGTTCGGCGTCTTTTTTTTAAAATTTTCTACGTATAGTACGTTATTACAAGAATTCATCTTTACTCAACTTTCAACTTGATCTCAAGTTTTACTGTGCATTAACATTTATTTATGCTGGGTTTCTGAACTTTCCACTTATTTTGTCATTACTTAGAAATTCATTAATGCTTTTTTAACGGAATAAAACTCAGGTTACGCAGTTCGGAAATACATTTTGTGAATTAAACACTAAAGAACGATTAAACGTAGCTGAGAAACCGACCATTAATCCTTCTATCTTACCCAACTATTTATTACCTTATGGTATAAGGAGTCCCATAGTCAGAGATCGTCAATCTTCTTCGATTCCATCTTCTTATACAGCACATCGTTATCTTCGTTGGTGATATTCCTAACTATTTAGGCTAACATAATTTACTAATTTCCTCGTATAAATTTTACAATTCCTTACACAAAACAAACAAATTGCGCATCACAATTAATCTGCCACCGATTGCGTTATATTCGAATTGCGTTCACAATCTCTGCATCGAGAACGCAGTTTGTTATGATTTAATTATCTGTTGGTCGGAGCCATAGAACGGCAAAGTACTGCATCCGTTTCCCGAAGGCGAATGCAACTGGGCCATTTCGTAAGCGAGACATTCCGCCGCGTCGCTCCTCTCAACCAGTTACTTAAAACGTACGCATTCAAGGCATTATTTCTTTGTTTAAAATGAGTAGCTCGGTAACATTCAATTAAGTATATGATAGTTAAGTTAACGACTGTATTTACTACATTTTAATAGACTTTGTTATTGCAATTTTACATTTGTTAATTATTAATTAATTACCTAAAAAGCTATTATTATACCTAAGTAATACAACATGTTCAATTTAATTTACTTATATCATCAAAAATTAATTCAAAAAAAGAAAATTCATCTTATTAAAAGAAATCGACGCATGTATCATTTTCAACATCACGATTACCTATTTTATTTAATCAAAATCTGTGTTTTGCAGGCTGGGCGAGAGATGAAGGGGTGGTTCGATGCTTTCCGTGAGGAAGGCGGACCGACCCTGTACGCGTACCATAACCGCACGGCGGTGGCGGCAGATGTGCCCGCTCTTGCTCTCCTCATCGCCGCGCTCACGCTGTACCTCGCCTTCCTCGCCGTATTCCCCGGTATCAGGAAAGAGGTAACCAAATTTAACATATTCACAGGCAAATACTGAAACGTCTTAAATATGTAACAGGGATGCCATTCTAAGAGCATGCACATCTGAAACTAAACTATATCACAACTGTTTAGTCTTACTCTGATTCCTATAAACTTACATGGAGGTGCGCAAACTACTCGATTTTTAGTTGTGCAACTAAACAGTTGAATTGGCTGCGAAACAATTGACAATCGCACAACTGTGCGATTGTTTAGTCAAAGGTGTGCGCACTTAAACTCCAAATTCCTTTCAAATTTTAACGTCTATCGGATTGTAATTAGCGGTTACGATGCGAAGTATTTAAGGTTCGTTTCAGTATTTGACTGTCAGTACTACTGATGTGCCTGGTAAGTTTATTTTGTAAAAAATCCTGACATGAAACGTCTTAGTCCTCGATATTTTATTATTAAATGCAGCACTACACTATTCCATATAATGACAAACGGCACCATGATATATTAATTTTAGCTTAATAGTTTAAAAATGTGTAATAGAATTTAATTTTCCTTAGAGCCGACGCGGCGGCTGGCAGTCAGTGAGTAAAAATATATTTTTACAATGAATTCATTGTCCTACATGTGACAAAAAAAAAGAATATTTTATATTGTTATTGTCATTAAATTAGACTGAAATACATTGTTAAAGAACAGTAGTCGATTCATTCGTTATCATCGAGACTTCCTAGTTACCGTATTTAAAAACTGGTCATAATTCCTGAATGTTCTACATCAAATCCATGATATTTTAATATTGACTTTGTTCCCCGGTGTAAAATATAACATTCTTGGTGTATAACGAAACGATCGTAGTAAATACGTTTTGTCAGTCATGTCTGAGTCAAGCGCCATGTGAGTCATTCATTCATGTCCTGCCATAAAGGTCAAGAAATGTGTGAAATACCTTGCACTTTATAGAAACACCCGTAAACTATGTGTCAATCTGTAGACTACCCAAGTTGCAAACTAAAAAAAACACTATTGTTATAGAATTCTTATCTCTTTTTTAAAAAGCTGCCAATACCGTTTTAATTTATTTTAGAATATGTATAAAATGTCTCTTACAATTATTTTTTTGTTTCAGAGATTTTCCACATTCACAATAGTCACGCTCAGCTTATTTGTAGGCACCGTCATTCTTGGTAAGTAGATAATAAAGTTTTTTGCTGCCTATATGGTATCTAATCTTTTTGTGACTTTGTATCTACCAATTTGCATTATGCGAAGTGCTATGCACTAAATGTGCTAAATACTGATACACTAAAAGTGCTAGATACTGCTATTAGTGCCCATCTATTATCTTGTTTTATAATTAATTAATATTTCTAGTGTGCAAACACGGCTCGTCGTGGCACGTGGCTGGGGCTCGCGTGGCACGCGCCGCCTACCGTGCCTTCTCCACGGAGCGTCTCGACTGCTGGCTCGCCATACATGTCGGCCTGGGACACGTTAATGTAACCCTCAATGGTATTTACATAATATCAATAAAACGTCTAGTTTTTTTCTTCAAAAAATAAAAATTATGCCATGCAATTCGTTTTCAGCACTATCATGGGGTAATACCACAACTGGGGACCCAGGTGTGGACTATAACGAACAGTTCCGGTGGGAGGAAGCCGGGGCCATCCAGGAATGGTATCGTAAGGGGCTGGTGCGTGGCCTGCCATACCCCTTGCTCTCAGTAGCAGAGCACTTCGCAGCTGAGCACGATGGGTTCGAGTGGGGTGCAAAGTATCGTGCCGCCGGGTATACAACATCGACCCTACTTTGGTAAGAAAGTTTCCCAGATGTACTTTAATTCTTTCTAAAGAACGGGATGCAATAACATAATCAGTTGATTGCTTGTATTCAGGACGGCGTTGGCGCTGTGGTTGCTGATGAACCTACTGCTGGTGGTGGTGCCGAGGTACGGGGCGTACGCTATGACGTCGGTGGGCGTAACGCTATGCGCCGCTGCAGGCGGTTACTGGGCGTGCCTGCCACATGTTCCTCTCGTCGTTAGACTCGATGGCTCCATGCTGTTTTTCTCACTCGGATGGTGTTTCTACCTAGTTCTCATTGCAGGCATGTAATATAATTTTTTTAAGTGTTACTTTGTTTAATTGTATATATCTATAGATTATTTTTTATAATCCGCAGGCTGTTTATGTTTGGTGGTGGGTCTGGTGATAGCGACCCTGGACCTGGTGTGGCCGCACCGGTTCTCCACGGTGTTGGAGGTCGACTATGACACGCCGTACGACCGGCACGTGCTTATAGTCGACAGCCGGCAGCGCGCGCGACCACAGCCGCAACCCTCCTTGCCCAGTAGAATACTTAGGTAATTTTGCGCCAGTTACCTCTTTCTAGACAAAAAACAAGCAAACCCTTTGTTTATAATATTTTTTACTTTTATTTCCAGGAGGCTATCATCAAAAACACGTGACTCTGAGCGTCAGGTGTCGATGTCGATAGTAAATGAGAACGGCGAGCGCGGACGAGGGCTGGGGCGCGACAACCCCGGCTACCAACACGAGCGCAAGCCCAACTCGCCCTGGCGGTACCCACTATTCAGGAGGCAAATCGACAGGTATCTACTTATCTTAATACTTATAGATTTGTCAAAAAGTGACTAGATACTAACTGCTACTAGCAGGTAGACTCTCAAGTATCAATTGATATCATCAGATTATCACAACAATCAATCTACAACGTGGTATAAAGGTACTGCAACATTACCGATCGATTTAAGTAACCAATTCACCGATCTTTTCCAGGGTCGACTCCGCGTCAAGTTTAGGTTCAAGTATTAACGGTAATAGTTCCGGAATCAAGATGTCACCACTTCCGGGCAGCCCGCCTGCTCCTTCCCTTCCAATATCTCCTCACAGGTACATAAAATATGCTATTGAATAACTTTCTAGAAGTTTCGTTTCGATTTTAATTTTATATATCTTTCAGGTATCGACCGCAACTGCCGGCTACAGAACGGGTCAAAGACATGTGGTGATATAGACAATGAAAAATTTAGTATTAAATTGACGTTGAAACAAGTTTTTCTGATCGACCTCGTGATGAACTATTGTAAATATGTAAATTATTAGTTGATATTTTAAATTGTAATGCGCGTATCCAGTATCATAGCGCGACGGTGATTCGTTTGAACTAGCGATTTTTATGTAAATTTTATAAATAGTGAATTTATAATAGACATCGACACAGACAGTGAATGCTTTGTGCCATGCATTATACAGAATAATATTGACTTGGGTCATTGTAAAATAATACACCCTGTACTTATAGTTCTTCTACTTTACTTATTTGTAATCAGCTTTATTTTTATTGACCGTCTTCAGTTTGGAGATACACAATCATACACAGATGTTATCTAATAATTGATTTTGAGCCTTACTGAAGTTACGACTAAAATGTTTTTTAATGTTTTTTGCTTGCATTTAGCACAGTTTATTTTATAAAATGCTTCATGATTTATATTGTTGCAAATAATGTCATTAACCTATTTTCAACATTATAAATATCCTTATCGTCCAGGTAAAATATCTACCTATAGTTTTATTAAGAAACAATACGCTACCTGAGAAAATTTAGGTGAATTTACACTGAAGTCAATTAGAATATTAATTAGATAAGTTATTTATTATTTCTATACAAACGCATGTAACGTTTTTAAATCGTAATTCGACAATCATTGAAAGGACTTTGGCTAAACAAACTTAACGACGAATAGACTATGGAAGAAAATTTCTATTTTTATGAAAATGAAATGTTATTGATTATTTGGCACATTGAATATTTAAAACATCCAGATTTCAATTTAAAAATATTTACACGAACCCGTACATGCGGTACGGATATTATATCATAGAATATTCGTAACATGTGATGTAAAATTGCGAATATATTTATTTGTAAAATATTTGTAAACCTTCTTCCATGTTGTAAAAACAACAATGAATTTGTACTTATGTATTGGTAGTTTAATTGTAAAAAGTGAGAATAGGTCGAGGTTATTTATTGTGATCGAATAGAAACAAAATTTAAAGAAACAATTGTTTTATTTACCAAACAAAAGTAATACTTTAAAAATAAATTTCGTCTAAATTATTATAAGAAAATCAAACTCAAAATCTAAACTAATGTTTAACAACATGATCCAAATTTAACTGGCAAAGGAAAGCGTTCCAGTTAACGTAACCCTCGTTAATAACCATTTCTTGTTCAGCCCAAAATTTGCACTGAAAACGTTAATTTGATTGTGGAATTCAATTAAATAAAAAAAAATACAATTTAAAAAATTATGACACGGGAATAAGTAAGAAATTATATTAAGAAAAATAATCCTTATCTGACCTCAACATCTTTTAATGGTGGCGCATGGCGAACTGCTTTTGCAAACTCTGCATCACTCAAATTGACCACGGGTCGTGTTTGGAAGTCGAGGAAGTTCATCAAATCTTCATAGTAAATATTGCAATTCTCATCTTTACTCAGCCTGTTATAACACGGAGGTTTGAAAATGGTATGTCTATTTCCTTGGAACACAAAATAAATCAACAGCAATAACATTAACTCACATATCCAACATGCAATCCATAAGATCCGTATTAATTGGCAGTCGATGAGCGAGTAAGAGTTGCCTCATGCGAGTCAGGGACAAAGTACCAACACCCATTTCATCCGCATGTAACAGACCTTCCCGGAGTCTGTCCCGGTCGTCCCACAAACCTCGCGTCAGCGCTGTAAATACTAGAGACCTACCGTGGTAACATTGGTTAATAAACTTAAAAGGTTTATTTTTTAAATTATCGTCAAATGTGATGAAAAGCGGATTTTAATCTTTAATTCAGTAACTTTTTGTTTACCCCTACCTTAACATTTGTCGTCGATGACTTTCTTCTTTACCTGGATCGCCTCGAAAATGTCTAATAATAGTAATGAATTCGTGTTCTGTCATCTTTTCACACATAATTTCCTTTAAGGCTTGTCTGTAATATGGGACTTAGTTTAACAATTGTTTAACATCAGTATAAATAGAAGACAACAAATTAAATTGAAGACCGTACAAAGTATACAAAAAGAAAAGGTCCTTACTTGAAACATCTCACAGACATTAGTTCCTTGTGGTCTGGTACCACAGCTTCCATATATTTAGCGACAAAGTTTTTATAACCGTTTTCTTCAGACACCAAAGCTCGCCTGATCTTGTCCATTATTAATGCTATATTAGCCGTAGGATACTATAAATGTGAAAACATACATGAATGCAGAAGTCTCACATAATACGTAAATTTTCATAACATAAAACCTAAAGTCAACAATGATATTATAGTTATTTTTTGACAGTGACAGATAAATCACTCGTTTTTAACTAACCTCATTAGCGTGCAGTTCCATATACCGCAAGGCGTACTCATCAGCGGCTATGAGTCGGAACCGATGGTTGTTGATGACTAGTTCGTTTCCTATCCACATGTCCTTATCCGTGTAAGCCGGAGGCTCTTTGGATACGAAGAAGTCCACGTCTGGCAAATACATTTTGTTGCGACGAAAGAATTTTCCGCCCTATAAACGAAAATTTTAAAACCAAGGACGAAGAAAATAGTTCACGTTAGGTAAGATGACAAAATATAATTTTTTTAAGAAGTTATTAGTGAAATAGTTAAGCATTACAAAATATCATACCAAAAATCCAGAGTTTCTTTCGCCAAGTTCATACACGGATATCGTATCATCGCATAAATAGTAGAGTACAATAAAATATCTCCTGCTGTCTACAGAATTGTCATTAATGAGTCTTGCAGCGAAACGTAGGATATGAGAATCGAAGCCAACTCTGAAATTTATTATAATTTTAAAATATTTCATACCGATAGAAACATGTTGAGATAATTTAGCTATAAATAAGATTGATGTTGAGAATTATGCTTTATACCTGTCCTTATGTAAAAATTTAATAAAATCACGATGTGGAGGTTTAGGTTCTACAGTGCGGCAGTTCTCTGCGGAATCTTCGTACGATCCGTAACCATTCCACGGCGGTAATTTTCGTTCCGCCATATTAGCACTGAGGCATATACCGCGGTCTTCGGGCGTAGGTAGTGGGTTGAAATTGTCTAAAATAATTAGCAATTTATAAGTACCAGATTCTCCCACTGGCGTAAGTGGTGGTAAGTAAATTTTTCTATTTACTTACCAAATCCATATGTAACTCGATAATACTCTTTAGTATAGGGGTCACAGTCGGTCAGTACCACTTTCCTTCCAAACACATTTAGCACTGCGCCAACACTAAGATCTGCGGGGGAATAAGACGGTTGTTGGGGCCCTCCAGTCATTTCCACGTGCGGCGGAATTTTCTAAAAGACGTTTTATATTTTGTTAAAAAATAAAAGGAGCTAAAGCCTAATATTCCATTTATTAGGATGAAAAAACATATGATCATACCCTTGGTAAACGCATTCTTTTTAAAAACATTGGCGCAGCTTCGACTCCGGAATTGGGTGGTAATTTCTCTTTAATCTCCATAGTGTCATCTGCTAAGAAATAGTGAATATCTAAATGATGGACCGTCCCAAACTGCGTGTCTCGGTCGTCCCAATATCCAAAGAATCTAAAAAAAAAACATTTAACTTAACACTTACTTACATTTAACTTCGTTCAACTCAACGTTGATGTAATTTTTGCATTAACGCTTACCGTAATACTTCTCTGTCGTGATCCAAAAATTGTCTAAAAGGTCTATGTTTGGGTGGTTTCCCAGAAGAGGGAGCTCTCTGTAATCATCAAGTACATATATATAGTTGTGACCGTAACCAGTATTGTATAAATAATAAAAATATCAATCTTACTTCCAAACTATCAGGCCACGGTATGGGATCCGGTACATTGATTCCGAGACGATTGAGAAAAGTTCTTGTGAAGTTATCACAATTTATTATCTATAAGTAAATAATTAGCTTTAATAACTTGGATAATCTTGTGATCAACTAAATGTTTAAAACATTACCTTTATTGTTTTACCGTAAAACGTGACTTCCTTCCCAATACTGAAATCGAGGATGTCATAGTACAAATCGTAGCTTTGTGGGAGCCTAATTCTTTGTCGTCTTATTAATGTTCCTGCAAATTAAATGTTTAAGAAAATTTGAAAGGCCACAAAAGATTCGCTTGTTATTAAATTCGGTACTACTGAAATTTATTAATATATACTTCTATATCTATACTCATACAATAAAGCGTGACACATTACTTTGTGACGCAGGATGTCAGTAATCACAGCATATTTTTGAATAACTCTTTATTTAATAAAAAAACCCCTACATTTACAACACGCTTTACGCTATATACATATTTTCACGCTATTAAACTAAGGGGTAAGATAAATTGGAAAAAACCTTTATGTGGGAAAGGGCCCATAAACTACAAGCTGCCAACATCAAGGAAGCAAGGTTGCCACAGTTTGTCAACATGTCAGCTCATTTTGACATTCGCAATTGAAAATTTGACAAATGTAAATAATAAAATAACGTTTTTATAATTTAATGCAGATGAAGCCGCACGGGAAAAGATGATAGTGTATAAGTTCAAAAGTGCTTAAGTATCAAACCTTGTGAAAATCCACTGTTGTCAGTTCTAGGTTCAATAACCTTAATAGTTCCATCTTCGAGATAAAAGAAAATATCTAATTTATGTAATACACGTGCAGCGGAGCGCATTTCATGAAGAGTTTCTTGATAAAATCCTTGAAACCTGAGTATCTGCAAATGGAGAAAGATTTAATAGCCTAAGGAAGAACATAAATATAATATAATAGGCTTTGAAAGTTTGAATCGACTGTTATTTCAACAGTCTTTAATGTGCGAAAAGAATTAAGTGCTATTTCCGCAATATATTGAGGGTTACATTTCTGGTCCGGTTTTAATTTACATGTTGTAACAACTCAAAAAATGCTTCCTATTATGTAGTTTATTTATTTATTTAGTTAATATTAAAAATAATACACAATAAACATACATTTTTGTCGTACATCAACCATGTCGGTTGCTCCGGGGCCTGCTTCCGACAGTAGAAAGAGGGTACGCGATTTGTGTCCGCCGCTTTATCAACCAACATATTCACTTTATCCACACTCGTGAAAATTGGGCGGACGCCGAAACCTTTCTTTCCAATCTGTAAAAAAAAACATGTTTTTGAGCACAAATTAATATCGATGTTTAGTTTAGTATTACGGATGTCTAGTTTTGTCCCCTTTACATTTTTCCTTCTCGTTTGTCCCTTCTCTAATATAACTAAAATGAAGATTACTTACGAGTGTATTGCTGCCATATCCAGGTAACAAAGGTAATCTAGGGTTACGCATAGCCATGGTAAAATATGTAAAAAATATTCAACAATAAGTTATTACAAAACTAATGTATAAATTCCAAAGTTTTATCTATACATTTGTCAACGTAATACCGTTGTTTGTTACTATAGTAACGCTTTTTTTCTTTAGCAAAACTTTTTTCTTTTATGGTGTTTTTAAAGGAGATCAACATTTAAAGTAAAAATGCAAAAAAAACATGTTGGTAAATGCAAACTACTTGAGGCTACATTTACTGACAATTATTTTAATCACTAGCTTTTGCCCGCGGATCCATAAGCGTGGAATTAAAAAAAAAAGCAAAAGTGATTACCCAATGTGTTTTTCCGGATTATCCTCTACATTTGTACCAAATTGAATCAATTTCTGTTTAGCCTTTTAGACTAAAAACTCTAACATCAATCAATCAATCCCTCCATCTATCAATTCATCCATCCATCCATCTAAACTTTCGCATTTATAACATTAGTATGATTATTGATTGCATAAGGCATATGAATAAAAAAACTTTTAAAAAATGAAACTTTATTTTTAATTATAATATTACACATAATATAATAATAAATAATTACATAATATCTTATCTAAAGATTTAAATAATAAGTACTCGTACAAAGCGCTAATATCATAAATAATAAACATTATTCCTATGAAAATCACAACACTTCGGCTTTGCGATATACTTTTAATAGAGACTTAACAATTCTCCTGGCGAAAAAAACAATTAAATGAAAACATAGTAAAACTATTACAAAGGCGCATTTTGACATAAAAAGGAGAAAGAGAATATAATACTAAAAGCTAAAGAAAAACAAATATTTGTAAGAAACATCAACATTTTAAAAACAAATGATATAACAAACTTAATTCGCGTCAAATCCGAGATCGAAATAAAAAAAGGTTATATTGTGTGGTAGTTATTCACTTATTACTCGTATGCAGATACATTGCCGAAGGCCGCATGACGTCATGTGTAAACAGTCAACGGCAAACCTTCTTAGATGCCACGGTTCAATTGGGCGAAGAACACCGCGGGGTTTAGTGGGTAGTTCGGCCGAAATATAAGCCGGAAGTCCCACACGAAACTGTCCCCGTTGCTCCGCAGCACGGACGGCTCAGTACTTACGTTCCCCGCAACAACAAAAAAAAACGGCAAACCTTCTGCGCACGACTAATAAGTTGTATAATAATTTAAGTTTAAAATCAACATTAATTTAGAGGAGATTTAGTTAACCGTGTGGCAAGAAATTTAGCCAAATATACATTGTTAATGTATTGAATAGGGCTTAATCAACATTCGTTTTTTTTAACTTAACTATACTTAATTAACCTATTAAAAGGATTTATACTAATTTATCTTAAAAAGCCATAATTTATTTCCATTAAAAATATTGCTAAAATCACTATAGAATTCGACATCAACTTATTGAAATTGTATTAGTTTAGCCAATCATTGGTCAAAATGATTTCTTTAGAAAACAACATGACATGTACTTATAGTAATGAAATTTACATCTTATTATACAATACACTTCTGTCTACCATTTCTCGTACATTTAATACTTTATTGTCTAATCATGCAATGTTGCTGTAGAGCAAATAATTGGAGATTTTCCCCTATTTTATATGGATTTCATGTCCAAGAGAGGTCTTATTCAGGTTTAACAAGATGTTCCAAATTTAACTGGCAAAGGAATGCGTTCCAGTTCACAAAGCCCTCTTTGATAATCTTTTCTTGTTCCGTCCAAAACTTGCACTGTAATATTACACATAACACTGTAATCATTGTACAAAATTAAACATCTGTAGACCATAAATATTTTAAAGCAAGGAACAGTGTAGAATAACTGATGTTATAAAATTGAACAATAATAACGAACAAGTACATTTAGAAAATTGTTGCGCGTAAATTCACATGTTTTGGGAGATAAGCTTTTGGGTCGTTTAGCTCCTCATGTCGTTCTGAAATGGTACTTATGCTATTAGAATTAGTCATTTTAGTTTATAGTAATCACCTCTCTGTCCCTTATAGGTGGCGCGTGTCGCACAACCTTGTTATAGTCCACATCACTCATATTAAACACCGGCCGAGTTTGGAAGTCCAGGAAGTTTAGCAAATCTTCGGTGTAAATGTTACAATTGTCATCTTTACGTAGCCTGATAAATTACATTAAGGATTGCTTAAATGGTATTATTTGCATGTACCATTGTAAGCATTTCTTTAAATAGGACTAAATAAAAACTTACACAGAAAACATACAATCCATCAGTTCATTGTTAATGGGTAACCGATGGGCGCGTAAAAGTTGCCGCAAGCGCGGCGCGGGCATCGTGCCGAGACCCATCTCATCTGCGTGCACTATGCCTTCCTGAAGTCTGTCCCGTTCGTCCCACAGATCTCGCGTCAGGTCCGAGAATACTACAGACCTATGTATAATAACATTGAATAAATACAATAATAATAAATTAAAGTACAATAGTAAAATTTCAAATTAGTACTTTGTCTCACCTTAGCATTTCTCGTCGGGGATACTCTTCCTTACCTGGATCACCACGAAAATGTCTAATAATTGTTAAAAATTCGTGTTCTGTCATCTTATCACACATAACTCCCTTCAATGCTTGTCTATAAATTTAAACATTAAAATGTAGTATGTTTTTTTTATTTCAGTCTATAAATGCAATATTTCATGTAATCAATACAATTGTACTTACTTAAAACATCTGTTAGTCATTAACTCCTTTTTATTCGGTTCTACCGCTTCCATATACTTAGCTACAAAGTTCTTATAGCCATTTTCTTCAGATACCAAAGTTCTTCTAATTTTGTCCATTATCAATGCAATATTAGCCATGTGATACTGTAAAAAAAACGCTACAATACTTCGAGAAGCAAAAGTACGCAAGGTTACATCTTTAAAATAATCATTTGAATCAATCAATACAGAACTAAGTACTATTAAAGAATATTTATGAAAAACTATTAACAAACCTCATTAGAGTGAAGTTCCATGTACCGCAAGGCGTATTCATCAGCGGCAATAAGTCGAAAAGAATGTTTATGTATGACGAGCTCGTTGCCCACCCACATGTCCTTGTCCGTGTAAGATGGAGGCTCTTTTGGGACGTAGAAGTTTACTCCTGGCAGATACACTTTTTCACGACGGAAGAATCTACCACCCTTAAAGATTTTTGAAATGTTAGATCGTGATACCGATTGTATAAATTTTAGTATTAGCAGCTTTTGACATAATTTGAAACATTTAAAAATTATTTCCACACTTTCTCATTATACAAGTTGCTAGTACTTCTGTGGAATAAAAATAGCTAAAAGAGAACACTTATAGAGCATAATATTAAAAAACCAACAATTACTTAAACAGGATTTTAGTTCAGATTTCTTATACTAGATCTACACTAAAAGACTCCCGAAGTGACATAATGACTACTTGTGAGGCAACAAATCTCCATTATCATACCAGATATCCAGAATTTCTTTCACCGAGTTCAAAAACAGCGATAGTGTCGTCGCACAAATAGTATAACACAATAAAATATCTTTTAGCGTCCTCGGGATTGTCGTTAATGAGACGCGAAGCAAATCGTAAAACATGAGAATCAAAACCATCTCTGAAATACATTAATTTATTTAAAAAATAATTATTAACTTCTACTGTCCTTCATAGGAAAGTAAACGCTATTTACTGGAAGTGTCCATCTCGTCATTCCTAAACGATCTGACTTGATATACTAGCTGAGTTGGCTTTGTCCAACTTGGCTGCGCCAACTTATGTCCTGGCCGATTACAGCTGAATCGGTCAAAAGTACTCAACCAAGTGATTCTTGTGGTATGGAATAATGTTGTTGATTATATTATATGGTGGTTAAACATTTGTACACTATAGCAACGTTCATTTTTAATATAATGTGTTTTAATTTAATACGCTTTATACCTGTCCTTATGTAAAAATTTAATAAAATCTCTATGCGGAGGTTTGGGCTCTACAGTGCGACAGTTTCCTGCGGAGTCGTCATACGATCCGTAACCATTCCACGGCGGTAGTTCTCGGTCGGCCATTCTACTACTGATGTATTCAACGTGTTCTTCGGGTTTAGGTAACGGATTAAATGTATCTAAAAAAACACGGCTATTAAAGGCTGATATTTTGATAATTTTGTCAAAAACTAAATACATTGTGTGGTTACAAACTCTTGTTAGCTCTTTACTTTATTATGACCTTCCAAAACTACTATTATAAAGAGAAAAGATTTGTATTATTTGGATTGTTGTATTTATAAAATAACTAAAAACTACCGGGCCGATTTCAAATATTCTTTCACCGGTATAATACTACGTATAAGGATTTTTTTTTTTTAAATAATTTCACGATTACGAAATCGCAACAGCTAGTTAAGAATAACACTTACCGAACCCGTACGTAGCTCGATAATATTCTTTGGTATAAAGATCGCAGTCGGTCAGTACCACATTCCTGCCATACACGTTAAGCACCGCTCCAATACTAAGGTCGGCGGGTAAGTAAGACTCCGGTTTGGGCCCTCCAGACATCTCCGGCCGCGGTATATTCTAAAAGATATTTATAAAAAACTACAACAAATGAAATTATTTGTAAGAAATCTAACAACTTGATATGAATAATCGTACCCGTGGTAGAAGCATTCTCTTTAGGAACATAGGTCCTGATTCGACACCAGAATTAGGTGGTAGCTGTTCTAATATTTCTATTGTATCATCAGCAAGGTAATAGTGAATCTCTAGGTGATGAATCTTGCCTAAATATGTCTCTCGATTGTCCCAATACCCAAAAAACCTGAAAGTTGATTTGATTTCACATTATGATCAAAATTCCTTCAGTTGTATATTCAAATGATTATTGTCTACGTACCGTAATATTTCTCTATCATGCTCCAAAAACTGTTTCAAAGGCGTCGGTTTTGGTGGTCTGTATGTGGGAGGTTCTTTCTGGAAATAAATATTGAATCACGACATTACATTTTATAGTAGTTACACCAAGAGAATACGAGTACACTTACCTCTATCGCATCAGGCCACGGTATAGGATCCGGCACGTTGATTCCCAAGCGATTCAAAAATACTCTTGTGAAATTGTCACAACTTAAAATCTGTAAAAAACATTACTCTTACTCGTCATTTTCATGTTTTTCTAAAATATAGTGTATATTAAATACCAATATTACCTTGAATACTTTTCCATGAAAAGTGACTTCATTCCCGATATTAAAATCAAGTACATCGTAGTACATATCGTAGCTATGCGGGAGCCTAATTCTTTGTCGTGTGATTATTGTTCCTGTAAATAAAGGATTTAAAAATAAATGAAAAATTAATTATTCCCAAAAACTTTAAACCCTACGTAACCGTAACATTTTTATTTATAATATAAGGTAGCAAACGAGCAAGCGGCCACCTGAATCCACCGAAATGAAAGCGACTGCTACCCATAACATCCGCAATTGCAGATGCATTGCCTACCCTTAATTGACGGAGGAGAAGACGCACATAAAGAGGTCATTTCCCCTTCCTATGCGTCTCCTCTACTTTTCCTTTCCATCCTTTCCTCTTAAGAAAAGTGTGGAAAGGGAAAGGTACTAAAAGTACTTACATTAATGTCATGGGCTTTAGGTAATAGACTAAAAAATAACAAAATAATAATTACATTAAAAATAAATTTGATCCACTGTCTATTTGGAATGTAACTTTGAGATAAAAGATATCAACGCATGTTCCGTAGGTATCATTCACTCTGTAGACAATTTTATTTCATCGTACTAGCGACATTTGTTACAAACTTAATAAGGACTTCGCAAAACATGGATAATACACATATCAATGAACCAATTAAATATAGAAAATAAATACAACTAGTTAAAAATGTGAATACTTATGACAAGTTCAAAGCTACATTTGCGTTACCTTGCCTTAACCCACTATTTTCTGTTCTAGGTTCTGATACTTTAATGGTTCCATCTTCGAGAAAAAAACAAATATCAACCTTGTGTAGTACATGAGAAACCATTTCATTATAGCTTTGCATGAAATATCCACGAAATCGTAGAATCTAGAGAGAAGTGCTTGTTTTAGGAGCATTTTTTTAAACGTATAAACTTTGCTATGATCTTTAACTAAGGATAGGCATTAAAATACATTCTAAAACACAACATTGCATCTAAATGTTATCATAGCAGACCTTGGGAAATAGGTGGTCATTTAATTTTCGGTAAAATAACAAAGTAAATTGGAACTATAGAGAATTCATTTCGAATTTAAAAATCAACTATTATAGGCCATACTTCTTCTATCATTATAATCTTAGTAAAGACACTATTGAGAAAAATTAATAATTTCTTGATTTTTAGTATCTCTGTTGTATTATATAACGCTTGCAAAATCTGTTTTTAAAAATAAAACAAACATGAAAACTTACTTGTTTGTCGTACGTTACCCAGGCGGGTAATTCCGGGCCCTGCTTGCGAGCGTATAAGGAGGGTACGCGATCAGAGTCAGGTGCCTTATCAACCAACATATTGATTTTGTTGATAGTCGTAAAAATCGGACGGACGCCAAAACTCTTTTTTCCAATCTGTAAGAAAACATTACTTGTTAATAAAATAAAAATAAGTACAGTCGGGTTTAGCTTATTTTTAATGCCTTGTATGTTGTAACTAAGAAATTTTGGAAGTAAGTAAGTTGGTTCAGTACATGTACAGGAGGTGTTATACCTTGTACTGAAGCTCTATAGTATTAATTACTTAAGATTATTTTGTACATACAGAATTTATAAAAACTAACTGAATACTTACAAGAGGATTGCGGCCATATCCGGGTACTAATGGTAATCTTGGATTACGTATAGCCATGTTTGTGCTTGTATAATATATTTTAACTCTATAATATCCTTAAAAAACAACAATTATCGTTTCCAAGTATTGTCAACGCCACAATTGTGCATAAAAACGATTTGGTTTCTACGGCAACGTAATTCTGATGTTTAGATATTCTTTTTCAGGTCAGATACTATTCAGTGAACGACCTCTTTTCCTGGAAAAAATACTTATCTCCCGAATCGCCAGTTTTGAGGTAGCTCATTGCATTAAGTATCATGTACATAATACTTAATGCAATGCAAACCTTGTCCCAGGGTGATAACACTATCGGATTAGAAAGCCGACGAGCTCTAAGTTGCACCAGCGAGATTCATAGAAAGACTATGATCAGAAGTCTTGAAGATATTAATCAAGTTTTTGATATTAAGTTATGAACTCCAGGTAAGTCGAAATCCATATATCTTTAAATTTTCAGATACTTTTTTTTATAAAATATACTGCGTGTACACTCTTTAGTTATGTCATTGTCTCCAGTCACTGTCATATTACCTGTCAAGTTGTCAAATCATCGTGGGACTGTCATGAATTCATGATTGATTCATTTGCTGTATTTCTTATAGTAAAACATCATTAAAAACAGCGAAATGATAGATGTTGAAAGCAAAATAAATTCATTCTTTATTTTTAATTCCACCTTTGGTCCTAAAGAAGGAGAAGTATGTAGTGCAAATGGATAGCTAGATAAATAATTACTATGAGTATAGTTCGTTTTTATTAAAAATTAACAAATTACTCAATGTTATCATTTCTAGGAATTGAAAAGGATATTGTTTTTCCATCCTAATCAAATCGGTGCTGATGCAAGAAAAATACAGGTCGGTTTGTGCGAAGCAGTTGTGAAGTTTATGTCGTAAGTTTACTTCTGAGGTGTAATTGTTATTGGTAAACACTTATAAAAAATAATTAAATACCGAATTCTTATTAGGACGTTTTCATCAGAACCATGTGAAGCTTTACAAACACAAACAAAGCGGTATATATTTTACCAGCCAGAGAAAAATTACTGGATGGTATTGGTAAGGAAAATTTTTATTCACAACATTTTCTATTGTAAAATAAAACTCACGTTATTTATTATAATAATTTATGTTCTAGGTTGTGAGAATACCATATGCAACAAAAGCATTATCATCAATTGGTGAGAAAAAGGGTGACATGGTAAATATACTCTAAATTAAAACATACTAGAAATGTAATGTTGCTAACTATTGTTTTACTATTTCAGATTCAGCCATCAATTATGCAGAATCTCCTTGTAACTGCATACAAGATGTTTAGGATGTTTGTAGGCTTGTTCACAGACATTCCTGCAGATGTGATATACACAAAATGCCAACAGTTTTTCACACCTGTAAGTTATCAACAATCACACAGTTATTGCTGTAAAACTTTAAAACAAAAAAAGTATTGCATTACATTTGTTATTATATTGTTTCATTTATTTTTCAGTACATACTTTCAAGATGTATAACAAATGAAGTGACAAATGTAATACAAGGCATTAATTATTTACCACTTGAAAAGAATTCATTCCTCAAGATTGTTTGTTTCATTGATCTATTAGAAATCAACTTTTCAGACTTCAAATGTATTGGATTTATCTACAATGAACAACTTATTTGGTATGTATGATAAATAATCTATACTACTATACTATGTTATAAAGAGGAAAGATGTGGATTTTTATATGTATTTAAATATATTTTTATTTTACGTGGATGAAGTCGCAACCAACAGCTAGTAAATAACATGATAAAATATTTGCTCCCCAACAATCATCACTAGAATTGACTATGAAAAAGTTTTAGTTCATATTTTACGCATTTACTATATTTCTTTTAGGAATGGGCTTTCAACAGATGATATGCTAACCTTATACCAGTATTTAGTACAAAGTTTACTTCCCAAACAAGTGGAGAAGGAGATCCAAGGAGGTGCGGTGACCGCAGCTCAGAGACATGGTCGTTTTATTACACCCAGTGATGGAATACATACAGATGAAGATATTGATAAGCTTATAAAAGTATACCTCAAACTAGAAGATGATACAGAAACTAGACAGTATTATTTAATTATTTATAGAACTCTAAGTGCTACAATTTGTTTAACAGTCAATGGTATGTATTAATTCCTTAGTTTGTTTGTACTATGTAAGCTCAATTCTTTGTACAGTTTGCTGCATAAATATATTTGCATTTACAAAGCTTTAAAAAACTTTTATGAGCTCTTAAATTTGATAATATGCATGCTTTTGTCTATGAATTATTATCAACTCACTATGTTTCCCCACTGAAGGACTTGAAGCCCCTAAAATAAATTCATTCTTTATTTTTAATTCCACCTTTGGTCCTAAAGAAGAAGTATGTAGTGTAAATGGATAGTTAGATGAATAATTACTATAAGAGATAATTAAAAGTGACATAGTTAATAACACTAGTCCGGAGCAAGGAATATGATGAATTTCAAATGTACTTTTGAAATCCGGAAATCAAAAACCATGTTTTCAAACAAACACATGGTGAGATTTAAACCCTGGATCTGGAAATTACAAGTCAAACCCTACATGGACATACAAAATGGCATAAAAAGGGGTGCTAGCTATGATGATTTAATTTGTCTTTTGCACACCAGGTCAAACAAATTGTCACAATAGTGGATCTCTATGGATAGTTAGACATGACTAATTCAAAATATTATTTTTTCAGCTGACAAGAAATTGGAATTAGAAACATTGAAGTCTCTTGATGCTTTCATTGGACCACAGCTGTACTCCATTGCATCAACAATAAGTGAACAATGCACATTACATGCTTTACAAAATGCTCAGCTTGCCAACACAGAAAATAAGTTTTTATATTTCAATAGAATTAATTTGGCTTTCAAATCTTCAGTAAGTGGTTAAAATATTTAATGACGATTTTAAAGGGATCAGAAATATTCAGTAATATATTGAATGGTTTCAATTGTATTTAAAACCTACAAGATGTTTAATCAAATTTCTTATTTTAGGTTCCGATAAACTCTTTAAGTCCATCAACAGCTATCAAACCAGAAGTATTGAATATTATAGCAGGAATACATTCGGATAGAAAAAGGTAACTCATTGAATATAAACAAATTGGACAATGCATTAAAACGGAAAGAAGTTTTAAGATATGTCACAATGTTCTTGATTATTTTTGTAGTGTCATTGTATTTTTTTTTTCTTTATTACTCTACACAGAAAATGTCAATGACATGACATCACTTGTGGGCAGCTAATAGGGTTAGATCATGGTTTGTTTTCATTTCCTCTCTTAAATTATTATTTGTTTTTAGTCTGGGTAATTATGGAGAAATTATCATTAAAACATTAGATGAATATTGGATTACTGGGAAATCATCTAACGACAGGGAATTCTATGTTATTATTCAAAAGAAAAATGCTAATGTGATTGAAATTGCAGGTAAGATAAAAATTGCTGAAGCAAATGCTGTATTTAATTTTTTCTTTGTTTTCCTTTAAGAGGTAAGTGTTAAGTTTAATTGTTTTATTGCAGAGGAAGTGAAACAAGTATGTGAAGCACAAATGAAAGGAATTTTCTTTTATCCCATATGAAGAAATTTTTAAGGATATGATAAAAAAAAAACACAAATCAATGTAATAAGTATTTTATTTATTATAATATTTGAATATAATATTAAATTTGTATAGATATATTATGAAGATTAAATAACACAATTGTTAAGAAAATTAAGTTTTATTCGCACTCTATGCTAATCCAGTGATGTCTTATTATCTTTATTTCTGAACTTGGTATATGATTTTATAATCAATTCTTTATTTTCATAGCCCCACGAAAGTAGAACTAACGAGAAGCAAATGGCTCCTACAGCTATATGAGTTAACATTGAATGTGTCAATATTCTATATTCAGAAAACTTACAAATAGTACCAGAAATACATAAAGTCAACAAAAAATATTTACCTACATACAAACCTTTTAATGGTTTGTAACCAGTATCTTTATACTTATCATTGATAAAATGAATACTGTGCACAATTCTGGCAAACATATTGATACAATTAGAAACTATAAAACCAACAGGACCAAAGAAATATGTCAATGCATAAGATAATACAAGAAAACTTATAGAGAAAAATACCATCAAATAATTATAACTATTAAGTTGTGCACTAGTCATTGTTGCAAAACAATAACATTCTGTAATACCATTAACAGCTAACAGGACTATAGCTAAACAGTGACTTTTGAGTAATTGGACAGGCAATCCACTCTCAACAAACACTTCCCCACCATACAATAATAATAAGGTTTTCGCATAGCTCTGTCCAAAAACAAGAACAAGCAACCCAATAGAACTGACAATCTTACAAACTTGAGACAGAACATCACATGATTCTTGGATCTTATATTGATCTTGTTTATGTATTGGCAACTCTCTTTTCACCATTTGTGTGAAATAGAAGTAACTACTATCCTCTATAGGTCTGAAAACAAATCTGGCTGCTAAACTACCAAGATTATTGACCACATCATAAGTAGCCTGTTCTTTAAAAGACATCACAGGGCTTACAGACATAACATACTTCTCCCCTTCTGTTAACAGCTGCTTTACCACCCCTTGCTTGGCAAAACTAACTGTCAAGGTATTCAACTTCTTATTTAATAAAGAATTCAATGACCCTTCATACTTTGGGAAGAAATCTTTCAAGGATGTATATGTAAAATCATCCATGTTATCGAACAATCTGTTCAAAACTTTTTCTGGAACTAACTTACTTTTAAGTGCTCCTTTGGCATAGAGAGGTTTATTTCTAATATACCAGTAAAAGAATACATAATAACTTATAACTATAACTCCAATACTGCCAACTTGTGCTACGGAGAAGGCAATAAGTGCTAATGATCTATCATATACTATTATAGACACAAACAACAATGTTCTAACAAGAATATGCACAGAATCAAGGAATATTTTTAGTTTCACAAAACAGTACAATTGTGCAACTAGTGCTACATTAGCTGAGCACAGCTCCAAAATACAGGAGAATGCAACAGACCAGCAACCGAAGGTATACTGCGTAGCATACTCTGGATGACCTAATGGCAATATATTTATCCATATGTACACAAAACATAGTGATAAAACACAACTTATGGGCACTGATAACCAAATCTGATTCATAATATGGCTCCAACGAAACTCATCTTTCTGACCTAAACAAGCTCTGTGGAATGGTTCCCTACTGAGAAACAATATTGTACTCTCAAGTAGCAATAGTCTTACATTCATTATCCCAAGCACTTCATGCCCCACATTCCTAATCACCCACGCGTTAGTCACGAAGGTGATACAGCGAAACAAAATTTGAAGAATTATGTTGAAAGAAGCATTTTCGAGGCTACTCATCAATAAATTTCGCCCCATGTTTGTTTTCTACCGTTTCTTCATACAGCGATCGCGTTTCCTTCACCGGTGTTATTTTGTACGGTCCGCTTGATTACATATATTTTCTTGTTTGACATACATATTACATACCAATGATCGTCATACGTGATGGATATTTTTTTGAAATTTTCATTTGGCCCGAACGCCACTGGATCAACGCTGCAGGAAAGATATAAGGTAATGAGATCATTACTAATTCTCGTTATAAATATTGTAGTAAAAACGCAAGTTCACTTACGTGTTCGACAGACTGATAAGATCGATTATTATTGTAGCGATGCGTTCGTCATTTTCTAGTTCACCACCAGATTCAAGGACGGCGCCTTCCTCCGTCAATATCAAATATCCGATTTGGTCTGGAATTTTTTCCATTATAACTGAAATATTTATATGCGCAGTATGACAAAGAAATACTAAACAGGAGCAACCAGGACAAATCAAATAAAATATACAGATTTTATTACACACATAGATATTTTCTTCACATATTCAACGCCAAAGAGTAGGTAGGTGACAGTATTTCATTCCAAACCCTAACCATAGATAAACATTTGCTATAACTGTAAACAAAATATTCATAATCTGTTTTCTTCGCATTTCATAATCTGTGTGACACTATTGATCTTGCTTGAAATTGAAATCGTGAATTGCAAATGTCAGTGTAATGATTTTGTGAGATTTTTATTTGTATTTGCTTATCTTATTTGAATACATATATTTGTATTATTTAGTCTAACGCATTTATCTATATACTTTGTAAATACTGCAGATCGCTTTCATCTTCTCGAATCAGGTACGATCATTATTTTGTTTGTACTACTGTGTTCGCCACAAATGTATTGATTACTCAATATGTTAGAGTATTTGGTAGATATGGCGATTAGACAAAAATGAATACGCAATTAAAAATTATATATCCAAACTAATTTTCCCAGCTTAACTCTTTTAAGCAGGCATTATCCTGCTGACTTATTATGCTTATTGCGAATTAGACAAAAGGTCGAATAGGCGTATAAGGTCAAATGACATCTTATTTTACATTTTATTAAGCACCTAATTTAGATTTATAATTATATTACTTAATAACATTATCAGCACCTTCGTTTAGTATTAAAGTAAATTGTAGTAAATTGTGTTATGAATATCAATAAATTGTAAAAATTGACACATTAGTCATTTTTGCGTTAACGTGCTATGTTTTCATAGCCTTTTAATTTAATCTTTGATTTCATGAAAGAACTATCATATCGTAGAATTTTATCTGAAGGCTCTATGACAAAATTTCAAATAATAATTAATGTTTTGGAGAGGACTAGTTCTTTCTGCTATTTATTGCTTCCAATTTTTATTACACACCTGCATATTTCCCGTTACATATATTCTGATATATCATTTTAAAATGGCATATTACAATTGTTTTTTCTTCATTCTATATAAGCTCGAGATTTATACTTGCATATGGTAAACTGAAATAGTCAAATGGATTTGAACTCACCACAAAATTGGTGGTCTGAACCTCTAACCAATGGGCTATCGCCGCTTATGTTATATTAAGTTAAATACTCAGTTCATCATTCTGAACTACCAGTATCACATCACTGAGATATACATTTATTTCCATAGAATGATCACTAAAATATCCTTCCAGACTATCCACTACGTCTATGCCAAATTTCATTGAGATCTGTTCAACCATTTAGGCTACAAACTCTAACAAACATCCATCCATCCATCTAACTTTCGCATTTACAATATTAGTAAGATTAGGTAGTAAATTAGCAGTGACCTCTATCTGTAGGAATATGCAACAAGTTGTAAAGTTGTGTTTCTATTTCCTACCTTAAATCTAATGAGTGGATTTACAGAAAGTGCATATTTCCCATTTCTATCCTTTTCTTATGGGAAAAGAGAAAGGGGGTGAGGATAACAGGGGTAATGTTATCTCCTTATGAACAATTTGTATTTGGTCCTATTATGACTAATGCACATGACATTTTTTTATAAGATTCAGACTGTGGCCAATCAAATTATTCATAAAACTATTTAACAAGGTTATTACTCTTGACAGGTTTATTGAAATAAACATGACCTATTGTTTTATGTCATATTTATATTTACATTCTTGTGAATCATATTGATAAACAAATTGCTTATATACTTAAATTATTAAAATGGAGGTATATAATACACATTCCAGTATGTGCTACAAGGAAATCATAACAAGGGAATATGAATTTATTTTTATCTCATTTGGTAGTGTTCTTGTGGAGTTGTTTGTTAGTACTTCAGCTATTTAAAATAGATTTTTTCTCTGTATATTGGTAATAACTTATCACAGCTAAGTAGTGATACTAACATACAGATTAAATTTTTGAAATTAACAATTACAAATTAAAGCTACAATTTTTAATTTAAGAAGAATATTATTTATAATTGTTCATGTACAGATTATTAAGCAAGTGAATGTATTGCTTCTACAATATTTTTTGTGAAATCATACTGTGATGTTTTTTTAACAGTTTTATTGCTTGATTATAGAAGTTGCAAAAATGTTACGGCTCCGTCCCAAGTTGGGAAGTGACCGCAACAACGAATGGCGTTGTTGCTTCTGTCTGCATGTGCGCACCGGCACCATCTTGCTTGGTACATGGCATCTGGTAAGTTTCACAACATAAGTAATAGAAAGATGTGTTGAAAAGATATTCATTACTATTTAATTCCAGATGCTACATTTGGTAGCTTTGGGATTCCTGGCGGCGATCGTGCGCGACCCTCGCCTGCTGGAGGAGCTGGAGCGTGACTCTGCGCCAGCGGACTGGGGCGAGCTGGGCGCGGCCATGCCCACTCCGCTCTCCAACGTGGAGTCGCCGCCCAGCCCCTTCCCGCAGCACGGCAACCAGCCCCGAGACTATAGCTTGATTTACAGTGATTTACATTAGACTTTATCTTATAAAACTGTTTTATTACTACTTATCATGTCATGGATGTGTCACATCTATGTACATGATGGAGTTTGACTCTAGATGAACATTTTACAATTATAACCTATAACCACAAATGTTATTGTGATATTTGAACACCTGTATGATTACAGCTGGTTTGTTTTATATTGATTAGCAAAAGACGATTAGTAAAAATAGGCATTTATGAATATTAACAAATTCAGTAGAATTCACTTGAATATTTAAAAAAATAAATGTGTTAATATATATTTGATTTGCCCTAGATGATGTGGATCTTGGTGCACTGGTTACCCTTTGTACTCTGGTGATCACACTCTTCCTGATCTACGGCGCTTCCCGCGGTAAGCCAGTGCACCTGCTGCCGTTCTTCTGCCTGCAAATATTCGACTTTGCTATCACTGTGTAAGTATTTGTTACAGAAAGATTGTAATCTATAAGAAGTACTAGAACATTGCACAATTATTGTTATAAAAAATTTGCCAACTTCGGTAACATTATGGAAACTGAAGGTAGCTGTATATTGTACCTCACATATTTACCACAAATATTATTTTTAGTTGGCAACATTATTCTTTCTGATATATTTCATCTAAATGAACTCTTTTGTTAGTACTTGTACTTGTATTTTAGTAACTGTTTTGTTAGTACTTGTTAAGTTGTCACCGCTGGCTACATTGGTGTTGTTTGTGCCAGTATGACGGCTACCGGGTACCTGTGCCACTTGCGCTCCATCCACCACCTGATCGCGGAGACGAAGCGCGTGCCGTGGCGCGCGCAGCTGCTGCAGCTCTCCACGCCCACGCTCACCCTCATCGTGCTCGGCGCCATACTGCTCGCTATTCTCATCAAGGTAACAAACAGTATAAACTAGCTTTGCCCCGCGACCGTCCGCGTGGAATTAAAAAACTAAAGTATCCTGTAAGTATGTGTTCTTCCAGATCCTCTACATCTATGCCAAATTTCATCGAGATCTGTTCAGCCGTTTAGGTTACAAATTCTAAAATGCATCCATCTAAAGTCACATTTACTAATTAGTAAAATTTGAATGTATTATACGTCTAAATTAAAATTTGCTATAGATGTGGCATATAGTCTGTAGAAACTAAAGTTTTTTTTTTTCCGCAGTATGTAATCGTGGCCAAAAGTATTTATTTTCTACCTACATTCGTTACTCAAGTACCTTTAAACGGTTGAATCGATCGTAAAGAAACCCTTTTGTTTTCACTGAGTCCTGGGATGGTTTAGATTTACAATACCACCCAATAGGTGGCGCAACCTTCGACTTTTTAATTAAAATTAAAAACGAGAGAAACATTTCTTGGGTATATTAGAAAATCTTTATCATTGTAATGTTTATTAATAATTGTTATAAATGATTTATTTTGTACATAGCTGTACTGCCTGCGCGTGGTGTGGCGCTGCTTCAAGTACCTGTCGATGCTGTCGATCCCCGCGCTGAGCCCCTTCGTGATCTCCAGCGAGGCCGCGAGCCCCGGCCCCGTGCCCTACGCGCCCGCGCCCTACTCCAGCCTGCTGCCCGACTACGAGGAAGCCGTCAAACAGACCCCCCCGCCCTCCTACCGCGCTGCCACCCTCATGGCTGTTATCGATCCTAATGTGGTTACCGTAAGTACAAGTGGTTTTTTAAAGCTGTACCCAACAAAAGTACATGCATGCTACACTGCGAAGGAAATAACACTTAAAAAAATGTCTAGAGACGAGCTTACTGAAAGCACAATGATTTACATGAGAGTCTAGTTATTAAGTTCATACTTAAACCTTATAGTAATATTAAAAAGGAGACAGTTAAGGTGAGTAGATATTTGTTAATACTTATCCCCAAAACGGCCTAATGGGTCGTAATGAAATTTGAAAAAGATGTAGAACTTAGTTTGATAGGCTAATTGAAAGTTCTTTGTTAATTACGCGCGGACGAAGATGCGGGTAATAGCTAGTAAAAAAGAAAGCAGTCATTTTGTTGATAATCAATATCGTTTTTTATTGACAGGCTGAAGTATCCGCCGCCCCCGCCCCCGCCCCAGCCGCTGCTGCCCCCGCCCCCGCCGCCGCCGCCCCCCCGCAGCAGTCCACCGACACAGTCGTGATGCTGCCGCAGCAAGGAGCGCACGTGCGCGTCTGAATCTCTTCATTAATATTACCATACGGCAAATGCCATTATATTATTGTTCGAGTAGAAAAAAAAAAAAAACAAAAAATATAATATCATGTTCTCTTATTTATTGTGAAGATTGCTCTCAAGCGTTTGATGGAATTCACTTGTTAATCTAAAACTATCACGGATCTTCTTAAGAAATGCTTTTAATACTATAAATTATTTTGTATTTCATATATTTTAGGTTCGTTTGTTTTTATTGAATATAAATTTCAGTTATTGTTTTAATTATATTTTACAGCCAATATGTATATACATTTGTTCCTTTTTTATTACATAATGGGCTATAGCTTCTAAGTAAAAAAATCTTTTTTTGTTGGTTTTTACATTTTTTTAGTTGAAATGAATGTCAAAGGTATACTGCTTTTGATGTACCGTGTTGTGGCAGTTATTGGATTTTTCAATTGTGTATTAGGATTTAGGTATAAATTTCGTATTTGCTTGTATTTCTTGTTTCGCTCAAAATATCATCTTCATTGTGCCATTATTTATGATTTTTTTTCTCGATGTATTTTTAATTAATATAATTAATTACTTAGAAAAGCTTTTTTAAATAACATTCCATACAAATGTTGTAATTGCGAAATTCTTATTTATTTAAAGCTCCGTCCTAATTTTTTTTTCATACAATCATTAATTTTAACATATAGTTTACTAGAACTGAAATATAAAATCAAAAGCTAACTAATGTTTAATAAGCTATTTCTATTAAAATGTTTATTGGAAGTATTATTAAAAAAAAATATTTTTACAATGATTTTTTTCAGAAGGAAATAAAAATATTTTTTTCGACTATTATTTAACTTAAACCATTATTATTGATCTTAAAAGTATTTTCAAACAAATGTTTATTGTATTATTGTTATTCAAAGCAGTTATTAATATTTTTTTTTGTTTTTTATTTTTTTGTTTTATTGTTTGTGTTCATTTATTTTATTCATGACATAAATATAATCTAATAGTTTAGCAATTAAATACAGTTTACATTTTACTTTGGGTTAAATAAATTGCCCATAACCCTATTTTCTAAAAAAAATCGTGAAATTATCGAAAACTTTTATTAAAATTAATATTTAAATAAAGTAATCCTTGGTAGAGTCTGTTCTAATACAACCGGAATATATACAGCCTTACAAATAAACGCGGTATAAAGTTAAACTTAGGAATAAACTGAGTATAAGCAAATATTAATACAAATTTTGCTTATATTCAGTTTATTCCTGCGTTTAACTTTATACCCCGTTTATTTGTCAGGATGATAGAGTATTATAATATTTCATAGCTAATGGATCTTTATAATGGATAAGGATTTAAGTATAAACCCATTAATCCTTGCTTCGAGTTGTACTAATATCGCGTAGAGGTTATTAAAGATATGCTTAGTGGAGATTCTCTTGCTAAATCTATAAGGAACTTCCTTAGTGACTTTATTATCTCTGAGTGTGACCTTTAGAAACTTTGTCACTATTTCGATTTTCCTTTGTTAATATGATTTTTTTATGTTTTTTTCTCTAATGTAACATGGTTGGGGTTAGAGTTTGGAGAGATGTTTTTTTTAATAAATTTATGTAAATCAATTTTAACATTACCAAGCCATAAAATGGCAAGTTAACATCGACTCGCCTGGAGACTTAACGTTGACGGGTGGATTTTTTTTTAACTCAATAAAGTTGTAAGCCACGTCTTATTTTGTTGTCGAGATATATTTTTGCTATTTCTATTATCAAATTTTTCTCATATAGTACAATTATATTAGATTTATTTACCCGTGGCCTAAATTGTACAAAAAAAAATATTTTTTTGCTCTTATTATGTACTTATGGATCATTAGGATGGTTAAAATTTCATTTAACTATAAAAAAAACTTAAATTATCGTGTAGACTTGCGACATAGTACGTTAGATAGTACGAAGCACTTCTAGCTAAACTGTATGTCTATTAACAACTATATTAAATTATTGATGTTAATGTAAGCTGTAATTTAATCAATGAATAAAATGCAAAAAAAAACTGCTGCGGGTTTCATTTTTATTGTCATCATAAAATGTCTCCTACCTAAAACAAATTCCGCTGAAAGACTCAAAGACAAGTCTAATTTTAATGAAATTAAATAGTACGTCTCTGGGTAAGTCCAACTTCATGTTTACAAGTTCTGAAATTATCTTCCATGCTCCACTTTCAGATCGTCAAACAAATCCTGCATTAATACTTTAATGCTATTGTTTACTATTACTTCCAACAAAAGCAAGTCTTATCAAATTGTAGGATGGTGTAATTAAAGTCATAACGTTACTTTGCTTTCCACTGCACAGTGGATAATAAATGTCGAATAATTAACGTCAAATCATCAAAGCCATTTCGAAAACGAACTAAATGTAAACAAGGGCTTATTACATATAAATGATAAGTGCAAATAGTTTGTTGATAATTCAAGGGAAATATGCACTTTAGCACATTGTTCCTAGGTCCTAGTTTTTTGTAGTATTTGCATAAAATATTACAAACTCAACACCAGCCAGAAGTCCCTCACATTCATAGAAGGAAACAATGTAACTAGTGGCATACAGAAATCGACGATACAAATTAGCAGCGAATTATATCGAATCGTTGGTACTGCGTCTTTGTAAAGGTCAAGCCGGCGCAGTTCATTTACAAACAATGCACCAGACTCGATGGTGATGCGGTATCGGTCGAATCGGGACCCGCGGCCGGAGCGATGCGCGCGCCCTCTATTTATATCGACGACTCCGCCCCCGCGATTCGCGCACGCGCTATGCAATCGCACCGACGAAAGTGAAAATTGCACATCACGGTGTCGCCGGGCGCCGGACGGGACGTCAACGCTACTAAGGAGCTAATCAGCACCGGCGCGGCGTACTCAGACCGGACACGGCGGCAAACACGCCGCGAGGATGGGCGACGGCACCGCGGCGGCCGGACACGTTGCGACACCACTGCGTCACACGCCGGTCGGTTGGGCACCAGCACAGCGCTCGTGACGCTCCTCCGGCACCGCGCGGAGTGCACTACTAACATGGCATCCACAATGCAGCTCGAGTTCACGCAGGCGATGACCGATTTCAAGACCATGTTTCCGGACATGGACGACGACGTGATAGAAGCGGTGCTGCGATCCAACCAGGGCGCCGTGGATGCCACCATCGACCAACTGCTGGCTATGAGCACCGACAACCAGAACGAGCGGTTGCGGCTCGAGATGGAGCGCGTCGAAGGCGGTTCCCCGCGCCGCAAAACTCTCCTCACGCCCGCAGCCAAGGGAAACGTCCTTGTGAATGGATGCAACAGCAATCATGCAACTTCTATGTAAGTCGTATTCGCTTTTTTTAAAATAATATACAGTGAATGTCAAGTCTTATAGTCAGTTTTGTATTGTGGTGAGGAAAAATTAAAAGTTTTTACTTGCTCAAGTTAATTAATCTTAGAACATAAATAAAGTAAAAAAAATAGTGAATACTGCAATGCTAAGTTAACTTTAACTAAGTGGGATCGCAAACTAGCAAACAAAACCATTGATCGTGTTGACTCAGCAGCAGTTTGGCGAGCCGCTGACGTCACAGCTACTGCCTGCAGAATGCCGGCTTACCAAGAATACGTATAAATTATAAAGCCAGACATCCGTTGAGACTAAACATTGCATAATTTGTTTACTAACATATTTTATTACTTACCTTACAATCAAAACTATAGGTTTTAAGGGCTCTAATATTCTGAAAACGTGTTTTCCACGCTATAATTAGATTTGGTGTGACATGTTAGCTCAGATCGAAACATGGAAACAAAGCAATTACGTGTCTCCTAATCGATGTGATTACCCTATTGATCTTAGGTTTCATGTCATTTTTTGTTTGTTTCCGTATCTCAAAAGAATGCCGTTACAAGTGTTGGGTAATAAAGGTGAACAGCTTGTACCTTTGTCACGTTCTTCTAAAAAAATCTTTTGTGTGAACTACCAAATGCATTATAACAAAAAGCGTGAATGTGTGTCATTGTCAATTGTGAAACATGAGTAAAAAGTTATTACAATAATGTAAATACAATATCGATTACGAAACTCAAATAATGTCGTCTAGCGTCTATACGAATACTAGTTACCCGATTTATCTTACCTTGGATTAGTCGAAACAGTTACAAGCACACGATAAACATACCTTTAACTTCAATCGACAAAATTGATTACATACTGAAGATAATTTTTTCCTTAGTACATGCCCAAACTTAAGTTAAAACAACAACGCCAATAAAATAAAATACGGCAAATGTTTCTTGATTATATTGTGCATATAGTAAATTACGTTTACCGTAAATAAGTTATAAGAAGCAATGGTACAGTGTGCAGTAAACGTTCAGGGGAAATGAGTCTGAAAATAGACGACTATTTTACTGTTGCTTTCCGCATTCTGTATATAATACTGCACGGACTTTCAGACATGAGTTAACAATAAATAATAATTTATTATCAAAACTTTCAAAGCGTATAAAATGTACGAGGTACATTTACTAAGACGTAAACATAACTTTTAATTTATTCCTCATTGTATTCCTATATTTATCATAACGTTAAACATTTATTTGTTGTCTTCCTATAAAAGATATACTTATAGTAAGCCACAATAATTCGTATTTACTATGATAGACACAAACAGAATTATAAACTTAATTATTATTCTCACTTAGGCTAAAGTCATTTAACCAGATAATTAGAAGAGAAGTTAGGTCATTGTGATTAATTTACATTTTATTTTATGGGAATCGAATGCACTGCATGTAGTACGGGCCCATCCGCTGAACTATATAGCGTAATTAATTAGGTAAAGAGGTCACTTCACATTACTACATCAGAATAATTAAGTGTCGCATGGCTTTGAAATTAAGATACACGGTACTTTAGTAATGGAATCACCGCCGTCGGAATGTAGGCGCTCAAAGTGATTTAAAGTCTCTTCTAACCTACTTGGAATGGTTCCAAGTTTCAAGAAAGAAGTTAACTTAATTTAATGTAAAATAAATTATGCACTTTAAGAGAACTGGTTCTTATGTGGCATTTATAGAAATATCTTTAGATTTATTTAATAATTATAGATAGTTGCGAACTATTAAATAATACACTTCGAAAAGTATTTTTACGTTTTGATGTAGTTGTTATTTACAGAGACGAGAATGATGAGAGTATACCACTGGCAATACGGAGACAATGGGTGCCGAAATTAATTGGTGCACTACCGCCATCGTTCCTTAGAATTCCTCAAGTAAAAGATGCTAGAGTGGACTTAAGTTTGGATATGGATGACGATAAAATTGCAGCATTCCTACAGAATGAAGAATTCATGGCTGAACTGCGGTGGAATCAGGAGTTTATAGCGGCATTGGACAGCGAACAAGGACATAAAACCAAATGCCACGACGACGACGCAGCGTTCAAGGAGAGACTAAAAACTATGGGGAAATGTAAGTTTAAAGTCATATTAGTAATGAAAAATGTAACCATACAACCTTTGACTACAGTTACCGCCAGTAAAAATTATATTTTTTTTAAGATTAGGAAACATCAAAGGCATCATACGACGTTTTCATAACGTCATAACATTGAAAATTAATGTTATATACCCAAAAATAGTTACTCACTCGGAGTCGCAATCTTTAATGCATATTACGCAATTTAATATATAAATTCTTAGATTATATCTATGGATATACCCGGAGAAGATACTATAGCCGGAAAGTTGAAAGTACTTCTGGTTTATTGACTACCATCCTAGATGCTACAAAGCACGTAATTTCTTAAGCATACCTTTCTAAAGGTATGAACAAACAAGTGAAGTACGCTCGTTCCACATGGCGGCAGCTCCACCCGCGTGTAAACATACGCATTGCTGTAAACACGCCTACGCCAAGAATGCTATCCATCACGTTTATTGAAACATTAGTACGGATCAGGTTGAATTTAACCAGTAACAAATTTTTCTATCATATTTAAGTGCACTTTGAATATTGCGGTAACAACTTAAATGTTCGTATAGTCGTATTATCATCATATTGATGTATTGGTTTTAATTGTAGTACTTAATCCATGAATACTGACAACTTTCAGAATTATGAAGACTTTTACGAGTTTTACGAGCCCACATCATCAGTAATTATGTACTTGCGTTTCAGTATCTCGCAAGAAATTCGCCCAGCTGTCAAGAATGTTCACACGGGGTGGTCCACGACGAAGCGGCAGTTCCCGCACCGTACCGCGCGGCCCTCCAGACTCCTTACTCCTAGAAGAAGAACACAGCGATGAAGATGAACGTCCCACAAACAATATTTAATCTACAATTAGACTGATTAGGTGTGAAAAAAAGCGAAGTTTGATAGTTAATTTACAACTCCAGAATTACGTTGTCTTATTTAGGTTAAAGAAAGTGCTTCGTGCTAATTTCGCGCCATAGAAAATATAGATCAAATAAATGATGGAACGCAACGTAACAGTGAAATGCTAAGAGGAACCTCTTGAACAGTTCTTACTGTCAACTTTCTTGTACAATTTAATGAATAGGTTTATCGATTTATTATAACTTTGTATGTAACTAGAGATGGGAAACATTTTTATGTAATTCTATTGTAAGTACTATTGTTACATAAAGGTCACGCTTTGCTAAGAAACGCGTTAAGGTTGCCGATATAGATTTCATCATATGATAGACTTTAGAACAATTGGCCTTTTAGGAAAGTTCACAAGGTATAAGACTGGGATTGTTAGGACGTGTCATTGTTTGTGATTGTGGGATCGTTTTGTATGTCAGGCCATACATTTGCCATTATCTTATGCAATAGTTTAATATGATGTAAATAGAATTACTGTAAATTAGATCATAAACTTTAGTTTTTTATATGATAATTGAAAAACGCTTTTGTAAGTAATTTTTAGTAACGTTATTAAAAATGGAATAGAGTCATTAAAGAAAACGAATGGAAATGATTTTTTGCTGTCGTTTATTTATAATATGTATTATGGTTTTTCAATAGCAGACCAAAATGTGATTGTAACGTTGCTACGCTATTGCTATAGCGTTCATAGTTTAGTCAATTTAATTTACATTTAGGTTTATATCATTTTCTTTTTCATTTTAAATAAAAATATCGCTATCTGCGTGGCGCTTTTTAAGTTTTTAAACTGTTTCCCCAATACCCATAATATTGTTCACATCTTCGTTAAAATCCCTGTAAAGATGTTTTGCGTACACCCATTATTCATTTGTTATTTAATTAATAAAAGAATGTTCTACTGCACGTATCAAAAATACTGAATTCGAAGTATTGTCATACAAACTTCAATGAAATGTTACAATCTACAAACATATCCTTTAACATAGTTTTCATTGCGTAAAACATTTTATAATAAAAAAAATAATTAAAGAAACAAATTAAAATTACAATTCATTTACTTCTTACTACTTACTTATTAAAATAAATTGAATTTATTTACAAAAAAAATCTATAATTATATTACAAGCATTCGCAATTTATTTGTTAGAAATAAAACTTGCGAAATGCGTTTCTTGTTTGCCTTATCTTGTGCAATGCAAAAACAAAATAGTTAAATAAAAAATTGTCTACGTGCAGTCTTTTCATACTTTAATTTAGATTAATTGATAAAAATGTTACTATTAAATTATTTCTTTTTATTGTTTGTTTCATTACGTTTTCAGATCTAAATTACATTCTGTAAATATTTGAATTGTGCTTGCCCTAAGTAGAACAATACTCCTATCACCTTGTTAATCTATATTTATACGAAAAATAACGTAATTCGATAAATTTCTTTTGATATTTACAATGCATTAAAATGTAAAACACGATAATTACAAAGAAGTTCAAATATTAATAAAAAATGGTATATAATTTAATCAGCTTGTTGTATTACACCTGGGCCTTTGTCGTAAGGGAAAGGGTGAACGTGATATCCGCCATTTCAATTTAATATGCGACAAACATCTTTAAAACTGCATCTTTAAAGCTAATAATATTTATAAACATTTTTTTTAGCGTAACACAAAATTAGGATAAATACAAACGCTTACTTTGCGTCTATCGGAATTAGCCGAAATGCTATATTATGCAAAGGGACCTTTGCCCATATGCACTTGTACCCTGTGCACTCGTTGCTTACCTTTTTATCGACGAAGAAGGGGACATAAAGAGGATATTCCCTCTTCCTATGAGTCTCTTGCTCCGTCAAATCCAATTTAAATATACAGTTACTTCTTTATTTTTTGAAAATCATTAAATTAAACCTTGCCATACGCGTTTATTGATTTTCAATACGTACAGCATTCACGGTACAGAAACTGGTACATCTCATTAGGTAAACAGTTTCCTAAAAAGTAAGCGCAGCAATGTTCTCACACTACGTCTAAGCCGCAAAAACAAAGTCACAGCCTGACAGCACTATTACTCTAAACGGTTCGACAAAATGGAACAAGATCATAAAGTAAGACGATATACGTATCGTCTTCTACGGAAGTCAGGTATTATTTATTATAATTTAATGTCGTTAATACACACGAATTCCTATTGCCTTTGTGGAGTCGGTTAAAAATCTATATCTATACTTATATTATAAAGAGAAAAGATTTTTATTTTTGTTTCTTTGCATGTATTAAAATAACTCACTTGGCCGATTTCAAAAATTCTTTCACTATTAGAAAGGTGTATCTGTAAATATCACAGGCTATATGTTTTATTATTTTTTTATTCTACGGGGACGAAGTATATAATAAAAATACAAATCTTTCCTCATTATAATTTTAGTAATATATTGACACATTTATGATAGCAAATTGATTCAAGCTGTGTAAAAATGATTAAGCATTTGAATAACATAAGGGTTACTTGTTTTGGAATAGATTAGATCACATCAAATGAACCTGCTAATCTCTTTTATACAATACCCGCAAATAAAAACTTTTTAAGTAAATAATGTCATAACATACATAGTAATAAATTTCAAGGCGTCCTACGTCATATAGAAATAATCAGGGCGCGATGATCATTCGATCGGCGCATAACAAACGGCGTTCAAGAATCGTATCGGAATGGGAAAGTCGCATATTATGTACATAGGAAACACCACGACAATAACACGCATTCATTATCGCATAATCCGATACCTTATACTTACCGCAGAGAAATAAATTGACTGTGACTGATACATTACTCGTTATAACTATGTACTTTCAAGAACGAACAAACTTTATGTGGAAAAACAGTTTATCATCGATTCATGGTTGATAGACTGTTTCTCCACGTCAAGTGGTCGTTGAACCTATCTAATTTACCTATTTCGTTCGTGTAAAAATTCTAAAAAACATTTTTTTAGAAAACATTTTAAATTTCAAAACATAAAAAGACTACATTTAAATTATAATGCAAGACAGACCCGCTCCACTAAGCTACTGGCTCGTTTGGAGTCTGGACATTATAATAAAATAACCAGTGTTATTAGACTGCCTGATGATTGACAGCACAGGCAAAAACAGGCGTGGTATAGTATATTTTTAGCGGGAACAGGTTAGTGGAGCTACGGATTATATTAACAATACTATGGCAAAAAACTGAAGTGTCTAGCAACATTCATAGCACGAAACCTGGAGGAAAAAAGGGTACTTAATATAAATGTGATGGTGAAGCCACTATAAATTAGCACGGTTTATAATAATACCTGTTTTTATGACGATATTAGCCAATCGTTTTATTATAATTTCTTCTCTATTGCGATTAATTTTACATTTAAATCTAGATTCGGTCTTAATTTGTAATAACTTTCATCTCCAACTTCGTCCATGCAACAATTTAAATTCGCGTTTTCACTTCAGGATTATTTTTAATGCAGGTCGTTGCGGAGAAGCTGTAAAACTAATAAAAACGATCGTAGGAGTGACGTCATTAAGTATTTACTTACCTAAATAAGTAACAGCAAACTTTAAATTAATGACGCAATCTGGCAACTTGTTATCAAAATCGATGAAGGCAAAGCGTTGCAACGATAAGGTCCTTCGCAGACTAAGTATATCTAAATTTTAAATTAAGATTTAAAGGTTTAAATAGTTATTACAAGAATATTGATAACTAGTAGAGTAAATACATACTTTTGTAAAATTAAACATAAGTGAATCCTATGGGAGTTTGATAAAGAAACTTCGTTTATTAATGAATATTCAGGTTATAATACATATTACAATCACGCTACAGGTAAAAATCCAAACAATTTTACATGAAAAAGAGTTGACGATAGGAAGATCTTGACTTGGGAAAAAGATAGAAGTAACATCGTGCGTCTTAAGGCAGCCTTATCGCGAAGAGTTTAGATGCGCTCGCGCCGCTGCGCTGCGGCCGCAGGCACGTGCAGTCGTCACGCACCACGGGCACCAAGATATTCACTTAGTTTGTCCCCAGACATCGCGCCACGAGCACGCATGGAGGCCCGCCATTTAGCGCGACCAGTGATTATGATAAATTATCTAGTGATGTTCGCGATCCACGCATAGTGTTGTTCAGTTCGAACGATAGAAGTTCCCGGGCGATCGATTCGTGAGTATGGATTTTTCTAAAAAAAAAACCGCCAAGGGCTTTGACCTACGCCTGTCGTGACTCTTGTCTCTTGCGAGCTAAGTGAGTCCACCCCGATCGGTACCCAACCCGTTGTTCACCTTGTTTGTGAAACTGGACTAACTTAAAGCACCATGAGATCGCAACTTTTTTATCGACAATCTATTTTTTTATTTACCCACATAAAAACTGTTCAATTGTGTTGTAAGTTACGATTGGTAACGTAAGGACAAGGTCGCTTGTATTTTGTTTTTGGTATTAAAGGTTTTATTTAAATTTTAGTAAAAGTTTGGGTATACGTTATGTTGTATTTTTCTAGTTGAATTTTTCTCATTGATTTCATCCTCTATTGTAAATTTCGTAACAATAAATAGGAGCAGTCATAAAAATAATCTTAAATCTTGTTAGAATATTGCGACGCAAGGAATTAATGTGAAAATAAATTTATGAACATGAGACGCAGACGATATTACTTTTATTTTACATATACTTACTGTCAAGTAAAAACAGAATTGCATTTTTATGAGCTGAAGTGAGAAAATTATGGATGCTTATAATATCCGCTAACCGCAAACAAGCGGTGAAACAACTTTACTTTCATTTACATAATAAATGCAATGCACTTTACCGAGCTATTTAGTACGTATAAGGTTTTTCAGGTTCATATGACAATGCTACCTAGGGTCTAGGCTCTATTTCTAATTATCTCTATTAAAGAAAAGAATTTCAGAATAAGATGAGAAAAGTTAATATAAATACGGATGTTGTATAAATTAAGAAGTAATTATTGGCGAAAATGTAGACGATTTAGAGGAAATTATAAATAAACGAGCTGTTGCCCGCGACTTCGTCCACGTGGTATTAGAAAACATGCAAACTATATAAATTACAAAAGTTACGTATCCCTCGGGAACCGGACATTTCTCGGGGATGAAGCTTACCCCATGTGTACTTCAGACTTTGTTTTATATCTGTGCCAAATTTCAATAAGATATGTTGAACCATTGCAGAATGATCGAGTAAACATTAAAAAACTAAATTAATGGATCCCACGGGAACCGTAACTATTCCCGGGATAAAAAGTAGCCTATGTGTTCTTCCAGACTATGCTCTAAACCTGTGCCAAATTTCATAGAGATCCGTTCAGCCGTTTAGGCTACAAACGCTAACAAACATCCATCCATCCATCCATCCATCCATCCATCCATCCATCCATCCACCCATCCATCTAAACTTTCGCATTTATAATATTAGTAAAATTAAAAAAAGAATTTGGTTTAAGGGTCTGTAAGAGCGTTTCTAAAAATATTGGTATAGACTGTAGACATAGAGGAAAAAAAATTGTATCAACAAGAATATAAGATCGATTATGATGAAACATATAGTCGTGTTATATATACCACTTCTCTGAGAATTTTATTGTCTATTGCAGCTGATAAAAATTTAAAAGTCCTGCTCAAATACTATTAGACGGAGTCGGTTAAATAAGTTATCAAGTCGTTAACCATTTACCATTGGTTTTCCAAGAATAAAAAACGTTTTAATTTCGTATCATACAGTATTAAATAACTAAAAATCTTCAGCAAAGACGGCTACAAACAGCTATGTATCAAATTATAGTCTAAAGGCACGTTCATAATCATTTTTGTTTTTTAGTTTTCTCGGAACTTGACATCGACGGCACGGTTGTATTTATAAAAGACATACCGTTACGAAACATCTCTCGAAGAATAAAAAAGTGCAATATTTGTATTCTAATCAATAGTTGTTTATGTTGTAATGTTGTATGTTGTCCCCTACGTGATAGAGAAATAGTCAACAAGCGATCCAATAAATACCTGTTTGATTAAAACTAATTAAACGGCCCTTATGCACGTTTATTTTCCGATGGCAGAAGCGACTAGTTTCGGACCCATCGGGGGTTCATTATAAGAGCGAGTGTTACTTCGCGAGCTTTGGGGTGTTTCGCGGTCGCGTCGCGTCTCGCTTTGTTTGATTATGATGTTCTGTACACAAACTTTGAATTTTTATAAGCTAACTATGCTGTGTTAATTGTTAAATTAACCGAACAGTTATCGAAATCTGTGTATAATAAAATAATAATGTAATAAAACTAGTAAAATTTTATCAACCGTTGTTTTATCATGTCGTACTTACTGAAGTTTCTTGCAATAAAACTAACAACTCCGGGTAATAATGGCAATTAATTTGGCCATAAAATGGCAGATATTTACTCGACCGCCATGCTGTAGAAGTCAGAATAGCACCTCATGCATAATAGTGAAATAAAAACCAGAATAACAAGATCGGAACACGTAAATTTAATAATTTAGAATGAAAGAAGAAAGTGAAAACTATTAAAATAATGGTTAAACAACATTAATAATTCAAAAGGCAAGTTAATTTTAAGGTGTGTTTCTAAGCTATTACGTTTTTATAGTTATCCTTAATTTGCATAATAACATTCATACAATTATAGACGTGAAAGAATTGCTTATAGTGTTAAACGTAACCATTACTTCAGTGAATTCTAATAATCTACACCTTCCCACTGGATTCCAATAAACAAAAGACCGAAAGCGATTTGAATTTGGGGGAAAGGGAATTAATATGTAAAGGAAACAATCGTTCGATTAAAGCATTTTCAACTCTTTAGCTTATTACAGATTTCTGGGCAGCGGTGAAATTGCTTTGAGGATATTAAACTTTGTGTATCCTATTGTTAGACGATTTGTTAAAGTAGCCGTTTTCCGTTCCAATTTACTTTTTCTTCGATTTATAATTAATTGCAATTTATCAATAAGACCGATAAAAGTTCTTAGGCAATAATTAACGTTGTTTTCTCTCAATAAATAGTTTTAATTGCTAAATATCGGAGTCAATAATAGCAGTTATAGTTGAAAAAGAAAACTTTCGCCTTATATCTTTTATCACAATATAAATCTCGCTAAAATGCAATGTAGCATGGAATTTAACTCGCGAATTAATGATATCATTAAACAAATCAGCACAAAGAGGTTATCATTATCATATTATACTAATTAATAACAAATGCTACTCTCTCTCTATAAAAATAGATAGAATAAAATATAAAGCGATATTATTTTACATTCGCAATAAATTCAAACTGTAAAAATGTGAAAAAAAAACAAATTAACATATCTAGCTTAAGTTAAATGTTTGTATTTGTATTAAGAACTAGCTTTTGCCCGCAACTCCGTCCGCGTGAAATTTAAATAATAATACATTTAAATGGAAAAAATATAAGCTATGTTACTCACAGATAAATTACCTTTAGTAGTAGTTTTTGAGCCTATTCATTACAATCAAACAAACAAAGTTTTCTTCTTTATAATAATATTAGTAAAGATTAATTAATGCAAGACATAAATGTCATTTAAATGACTGAATTCATGATTTTACTTTCATTCCATGCGATCTGAGAAGCTTTTTTGCTGCAAACATCACGGATATCTGCTCAGTAACATCGATTTTACCGATTAGCAAAACTATCGAATATTAAATGTGATAAGTTATAATGGAGGAATGTATGGCAGATGTGGTCTCGTCGCAATCAGTTCAGCCGAGTTTCACCTGGAGTATTCGCGCTGTTACTTTTACAACGCGCGGCCGCGCACGAACAACGCTCTGTTTCCCTAAGTCTTATTGTCTCCGGTGTAACGCGCCTCTAATACTATACTTTGACTTTCCACGTACATACGTATCACTTAATACGCTAACTGCACCTTTAGACGCCGGCAAACTTTACCTTACCCACCATACTTTATCATAATGTTGTTAACTTTAAGATCATCCGTATAACCTCAACGAAGTAACTCAACAACTCAATACATATTTGACAATGACATTGCGAGTCAGTCTTCGGCGGAACAATTGGCAATTACTACATATTGTGGTTTTGTTTTACATGTTTTCCGTTATTACATAATACATGCCGTAGGTTACCATTGCCCTTTATTTTAAAACAAAAGAACAGCATGTTTTTATGTAAAAAATTCAGCAGTGCGAAGTTACACTCATAACATCTAAGCTTGACGAAAAAAGTTAGATTAGGTTATATAAAAAAGTATATATTGTGGAAGATGTGGCAGCCCTACTCCTATTCATAAACCATAAAGGTATTATCATAAGATCATTAAAATAAAACCAAATATATTCACAGTAACACTATAATTTACCGTAATTGTAATAACACTTTCATAGTAATGATGAATTGAACGTTTTGACTGACAATGGATTACATAATAGGTGCTCATGAAACATAATCGGGCAAACTAATAACAGCTGGCATTGATAGTAATCTAGTTGTGGTTATAATTATTTATTACGACAGTATCCCACACATGAATTGAACAAGAGTTTCACAATAGATATGAACACCTAGCGAAATTTATGTAACTAACTGACATTTAAACGCAAAGCTATAAGGCTACCAACGTTTACTAGTATTTTAAAATAGTCCCGATTAAATCTTGTGCTTACGCTTGTACTCGTATATGTCACCCGCGAATAGTAAATACAAACCTTTTGAAATTTGTTTAGAAACGCTGTAAATACTCTACAAATTGCATATTGCAGAAGTATTAGATTGTGACTATGTTTGTCTAGTTAAGGTTAATTAGTTTGATAAATCACGCATATTAAGTATTAAATAAAATTTGTATGAAAGTAAATGCCGTACTTAATAAAGGATAATTAAATTGGACAGAAGATGAATAATAAAAAATTTGAAGGATTGATTAAAGTAGGTATTATATATAAATATTATTTAAGTTTTTAATATCTGTGAACTTAAAAATTAAAATTTGATATCACTATAATTATTCCCTACGTTTTAAACACAATTCACGAGAACAATGTAAAAGGACACGGGATATTTGAAAACAAATACGCAAACCAATGTTGTCGGCAACAACCAATTGTATGAATTCAGATATAAAAAAGTATTTCCCTAAAACTAAGCAACAAAAAATAGAATATTTAAATAACCATGTCATAAGTGTTAAGTTGTCGATGTAAAGAAAATCCTAAATGTAGCAATTACTTGGTTACCTTACGTTCATGACTAGAGCAACGATCACACCTTGATTACATATTCATAGTTGCGTGCTACGAATGAAATCTATACGGACGGAAACAGTTTCGCGTGCTCAGAGCTTATACTGCTCTGCGCTGTTCATGGACTAACATTACAAAATAAAATGCAATCGTTTTGTTATCTTTTTGTACTTAGGAACGGAGCTTTCGAAACGTGATTTTTTTAAGACGATAACAAAGGTACTGTGGTGTCAACTATATCAGGACACCACCACTCCTTCAATTATAACGAAACCATGTTATGTTTAAATTATTAAAGATCGTTTAAACTCAAAGGATCTCAACTTGTATAGATTAATGCGGCGAATTGCGCGTCCATCGTCTACGGACTAGAAAAGTAGATTCTAGCGCATTGTACGTGTAACAGATGTACATAGGCTTCTGAAGTATGGAATCAAAGGTAGGGTCCCAATTCTGTTTAAAGAGCCCTCCAATCAGTCTATACTGATCAAAGGTGAAGATGTTAATAATTGTGAGTGTAAAAGATCCACAATTGTAAACTACCGAAGACACAAATTATTACGAGGGTAGAGACGTCGTATTGGACATCTGGAATTAGCATTCAAAAAAATTGAGGCAATCAATGGGTAATTTTTTATTCGCTCCTTCTGGTATCTACGTACCTGCAACCTCTGGAGGCAAAAGATAAAGATGCGATTAACATTAAGATAACACTACATAATACCGTTGCGTTTCGTTTGTTCGCCGCCGCCTCTCGATTCGGTTCTCCCCGAGAGGTTCACGAAATTGCTTCCCGTTATTTCAGCTCCAAATCTCACAGTGTTCGCTTTAAGTTCAAAGTCACGACGCAACTTCATAAACTCTTATACAATCTATTTTCTTATCTGTTTTACCTTTTATAGATAGAAATTCGCGAGTAAATAACCTTAAATATCTCTACGAAGTCAGAGCCGGCGTCGTGCGCGCCAAATTTGGATAAATTGAACCTCGGCCGATAACGAGCCGCAATAAACTAAAAGCTGTCTGGAAAATATCAACGAGGAAGTCTTTCTAATACATTTCATTATTTTATTTACATAGCCTTTTATATTGTATTTATTAATTAACAAAATTAACAATTAAATAACAAATTAACAATAAAGGGTTCCTTATAATAAGTTATTATAAATAGTTAAATTTAAAAACAAATACATTTTTATTATTATATAAATTTATCGTGGATTTTGTTTTATCCACATTCCACGATGAATTTATATGTCTTACAAATGAAGGAATTTTGTACTTACGATATTACTATGAAATCTCAATCTAATCGAAGATATTTAACTTTTCTAAAATATGAATTTTATAACGTTCATAGTTAGATCACTATAAAATCTAAACCTTTAATGGAAGAAAACTACTAAGTAATGCGAGGGTTTTTTTTCCAACACGCAATACGTACTGATACCATGTTCTATGTTCTATGCCTTCGGGGGATGCGAATTAATACGTTCATTGCCCCGATCCGGTCAGACGTCGCTGCTGTGTCGCGTCAGTTATCATAGGGTTGTCACAATACAGAATCAATTACCTAATAGTTTTGTTAAAAAAATTGAAAACCACGAATTGAAATCTTAAGCGGGGTCTATGGGTACTATTGCATCATTTTTTGTCCGTCAGTCAATCAGCTACAATTAAAATTTCTTAACTTACAAAATAGTCATTAAATCTTATAGAAGAATTAACAGAACGAAAAAATTAACGAAACGAGCATTATAAATACGTTTAAATAAGACGATTAAAAATCTTAATAACGGAACAGAAAAACTTATAACGGTTAGATTCCTGCTATCCTCGTTTGTAAGCACCCTTATTAAGTTGCAGGTACGGCTTGAATCGTTTTCTATACTTGGCAGTCTTCTACGGTATGTCATAATAGCGTGTAACATGTTTCGCCAGTTTTATCTATGCATTAAAGTACCCCTAGCGGTATAAAAGTACTGTTCAGCAGAGATCTACTTTTTAAATAAATGTCGTTAATTAAAATAATACCAACAAAACGCTAAAATTCCTCTAATGTCGCCTAACAACGTCAAGTCTAATATTTTCCAATAAAGTTAGTATCAAAAACCATGTACAACAATCATCTTTCATTCTCATATTTGTGTTGATACAATCTACTCGTAACTTTTTTCTATTTTGTTTATTACAAAAAAACTGGAATAGATGTCAAATCATTTAATATAGGAGCAACAGAACAGAATCATGAAGAGGCAAATATTCTCGTTATGGGTCGCAGTTATCATTATACCAGCTGTACCCCATAAAAAGATTTGATTGTTCCTTTAGAGGCTACCATATATCTATAAGCCATCTTAAAATTTACTGCTCATTGGATACATTGTAGACTTAAATAAAACAAGAATGAATTCCAAATCGGCAAAGTTAGGGTCCCTAGAGTTGCAAGCCGACAAACCGGTTCGACTGGGAGATTCTTTGTTTGGTTATCTCAGAGTCGAGACGTTGCAATTCGACCTCTCGGACATTTGGCGCGTGACTGACGGGTCGTTTGGTCCGCAGGGTGAGCGCATGCAGCGCGGATGTGCCAGCGGTGAGGGCTGAGGACATGGCAGTCGCGGCCGGCGCGGCTTGATGGCGAACGCGGTGCGCGCGCTGCTGCTCTCGGCGGCGCTGGCGGCCCTGGCGGAGGCCGGCGCCGCCCGCTTCGGCGACCGCCTCGCGCCGCGCGTCCCGGCGGCCTACGCGCCTCGCCACGCGCCATCGGCACGTCACTACGCCAATGACGACTACGAAGATTACGTACAAGACTACGACGGCCATCACCGCTCTGAGGAGGATGAAGAGAAGCCGCCCGAGCCGGCGCCTCCACCGCGCCGGCCCGTGCGCACAGAGGCACATCGTCTTGAAATGAGCACCGAGTACTTCGTTATTCCCGAACGCACCTCCTCGAGGCCTCCTGCGACGTCTTTGCGTCCCGTTATTATTTCTAAAATACCGGCGCCCAGAAATAGTACTATACAGACCATATCAAAAATTGCCTCGGTAGGGCCATTGCGATCAGAGGCTTGGGCTGTGCCGATACTAGCTATCGCGTGTGTTAGCATGTTGACTCTTGGTGGATTTGAAGTTTTTATAGTGTGGGGTGCCAGTCGAAAGGCACCGAATCAGCGCCATTTGTTGCTGGGTCAAACATTACTGTGCGGACTGTTCTTCAGTGCCGCGACCGCGGCGCTTTACACCGCTACGCCGAACGCCTTCACATGCGGTGCGGTTCGCTTCGGCACAGGTGTAGCTTACGTAATAGTTTTTGCGTCGCTACTAGTAAAATGCGTTTTCTTGTTAAGTTTAAACGGCGGCGTTTACCTCCCGGCAGCGTATCAAGGACTGCTTCTGTTTTTCGCTGTGATGATACAAGTCGCCATCGGCGCGCAGTGGCTGGGCAGCTCCCCGCCGCGGGTCGCCGCCGGCGGTGCGCGCTGCGACTCCGCACTGTCAGATCTCCTGCTGTCGTTGTGTTACTCCGCCTTTTTGATCGCGGTGGTGTGCGGCGTCGCTCTGCGGTCACGCGGCATCCGCGATAACTATCGGGAGGCGACGCATATCGCCGGGGCGAGCGGCGCAACGGCTGCAGTATGGGTGTGCTGGGTGGCGGCTGCGTTAGGCGCACCGGAGCCGCACCGCGACGTGTGCGTGGCCGCCGGCTTGCTCGCCACCTGTGTCGTTGTGTTCGCATTGATGTTCGCTCCTAAAGGTCGAAGATTGGCTGCGCTCGGCCGAGAGGGCCGATGGGACGCAGACCGGGAAGAGGGACTAAGCTCGCTGGGCGCCGGCGGTTCGGGCTACTCGCCTTCGTTCTTCCACTTCAAGCCCGTCAAGTACGGCATGGTGTCGGCTGGGGCGCCAGCGCCGACTCAGCCCGCAATGCTCGACCGCAAGGAGCCCCCAGCTCAGCAAGCCGGTTAGTTAAGTATCTACGGCGCGCTAAAACGTAAGGTCTAGCGCTTCCACGCACGATTTGATCGCAGCTCACCGCGTTATGATTGCAGATCCGTACGGCGCCATGTTCGCGAGCTCGCACCTACACGCACGCCCCCTGTGCTCTCCGCCGCACTACCCCCCGCACCCACTAATGCACTACCAATATAATTATCCACCTTATAATTATCTACTTCCACCAGGTAATTATAATTTCAAGCACCGTCCATTCTCACTATAGTATATAATACTTAAATAGGTGTAAATATTTGAAAATAACAGACTGCTGTTGGTGATCATCTAGTCATTTTAATTTATTTTTATAACAGTTTTTATTTTATATACAGGCGTGATGATGCGACCGGAGGAGGGCAACGTGTACACGAGCGTCGAGCCCACCTTCAGCAGCAACCCTAACGTCTTCTTCCAGCGCTCTGAGCCCCTGCACGTCGGCATGATGTACTGAGCCACTGACAAACCAACGTTCCGCACGTGAACACTGAGATTTGACAGCACGACTGCTAACCCAGTCAATACAACCCTAACATGCCAACATAATCTATTATCTCAATGTAAACTGTTATGTATCCCATTGGTATTGATCATACAAACAATAGCATGCTTCATTTAAATTCTCAATTGTCTATGACTGTATGTGTAAATAGAATAAGGTTGCCAGCCAGCTTGGATTATCAAAGAAATCTTGGCAAAGTACCAAGCAACCATATTTACAGTCAAGATGTTACAAGGAACCCTGCTTTGTATAGTAAATACTGTTGTATTAAGTATTAGCAAGTCAAGGAAATTTTGAAAAGGTCATTTTGTAATTCATACTTTAAATCCAACCCACCCTGACTAGTGACTTGGAAATCCTCTCCTTTGATTTACTAAAATAGATATAAGAATATATGTAAGGATATTTTTCTAGATAATTGTAAATAAAACGATAGACTGTTTAAAAATCTTTTCATTTATTATGTTAAAATTAAATCTATCAACAGAATGCATCCATGTAGAGCACATTTCTTAAATAACTTAGTTGAGTATAGACTCTGTTGTGTTGTGCCTTGATATTTGTGCGGATCAGGCATCTAAAGCACATCACTCAGTCATCATTCCTTCTTCATTTTGTTCCTGTGGACAACAGTGCTAGGAATCCAGATGCTGCTGTTAAAGACACAATATAGTTACTGTACAAATATATTAAGGAAAATATAGTTATAAGATAATTTAGAGAATATCTAAAAATCATACATCAAAAATTTAAAATAGAAGTGTCAAATGCAACAGTAGACGAAAACGATACTATCATAACATTACAGGGCTTTTTGTTTATTTTTTATATTACTTAGAGAAAACATATTTAGAGTTTTGTACATCTCAATTGTGACAGATTTTTATAAGGCTTAGGCCAGCTATAGGTATAGGCTAAGGTATTAATTAATATTAGCAAATTATTGTAGATCTAAACTTAATTCTTATTTAAATTAACATTGCTAAGACTTTTAAAGACAGTCAACCTTGGAGAAGACTTTTTTCATTTACAGACTGCCAAAGTACATTTCAATGTATCTTTTTAAACAATTCATGAAGCATGCTTTGATATTTAAGTAAAATTGTTAAAAGGCTCTGTAGAAAATCTCTATATTTGGCTAAAATGTGGAGAAATCATTTGATTTCGACTTGTATAGTAAATTCCATTCCATACAATGAAATTAAAATGTCATAAAATATTAATTCTTAAAATATATATCAGTTGTTATATAAAAGGATACACAGTTGGTGTGAATGAGCGCAGAATGTAGAAGCTGCTCAGGATCACAATCGTCAGGAACAATGCATTATTGTAGAAGATGGAAAAAGTTGTTGCTTCATAGTCCGCTACTTCATTCTTCTTCCAAAGAATCCTGGCACAAGAAATCAATGAAATTGTCAGTAACATACAGCTTTAATCCCCCTAGATAAACAAATATGCTTCCTTACACCCAGGCCATGCCTATGACTGGAACCCATATAAATAACTTATAGGAGTTAATTAGTATAAATTATAATATTTGAAAGTAGATATCTTTTCTATAGCAAATGAAGTCTATTATCATTGGCTTCTGACATAAGGAGACATATGTTATAAATATCTTACCTCTCATCTTTTTCTTTTCTGCTCATTTTCTTATCATCAGCTAACTTCCTGGTCATCTCCCTAGCAACCGCATCTTCCCGGCGCACTGCTACGCGGTGCTTCAGCTGGAACTTAGTGTTACGGTACGCTAAAGCCAACAACCAAGTGCTGGCGGTTGTCACGACGCCAAACCACGCTAGTGAAGGGCTGACTTCCAGAGCATGTACTCTCCAAAATAGCCCTGAAATATACAGAATATATGAACATTAATAGACGTAGAATACAACAAACTATCACAACTATTAGTTTAAGTCAAAACTTTCACTTTATATAAAGTTTCTTACACTCTTGAAAACAAAGTTTTATGTATGAAATACTATGTTATGCAGATGTGTTTGATCAAATTGAACAAAACAAGTAGTTGTACTTACAAATTGGAATCGCAGAAACAATAAATGCATTTCCATAGAATAATGCTGAAGATTTCGTCGACACATTTCTGCTGAAATCTTGAAGCAGAAGTTCCTCCTCTTTTGTGAAAGCTTTATTACCTTTTCCGGACATTTTGTAAAGTTAATATTATTCTGCTCTATAAAATAAACACCCTATTTATACACAACTCAAGAATAAATAATTATCGGTATATCTATGTGCAACGTGTAACCTAACCACAGCTGACAAGACAGAGGAGAAACAGCAGCCAAAATTGAAAGTCGATGACGTTTATGTTACATGTCACTTGACGTTTAACTCGCTGGATAAACGTGTCAAAAACCATACCAGTTGCAATAATTTATAATACCTACGTGAAATAAACGTTAAAGTTTTTCATGAGGGGTTTGGTACTTCTTTTACACACAAAAGTCAATTATTTGTAAGAAAAGAAATACTTTTTACATCATCTAAATCGTGAACATTTCGTTCATAATGTTGAGTGAAGTAGTTAAAATGGCAATTTTAAAGTAGATGTTTATTATTTACTCTTTGAGGCAATCAGCCAATCAGAAATAAGTTCTAGGAAAACAATGTCAAATCGGATTTGACAGAATTTCAAACAAAATTTCGTTATTATGCGTTCAAAAAATCTAATAAAAAATGAATTTTGAATTTTCAATACCTTTGCAAAAAGACGAGCTTCTAGAATCTTCTACTGGACAATATCATGTTGAAGATGTGGTGCAACCAAGGGTTTTACTATCAAAACTACAGGGTCAGTGCATTCGTGACAAACTGTTATTAAGAACAAACTATTACTCATTTATTTACTGAATTTACTTTAAACTTATAACAGATGCGGCGCGCGCCTACAATTCGGACGGAGTGGAATATATTTTAGAACATTTTGACACATATTTCTCTGTAATTGTACATGGAACAAAACTGGAATGGAATGTTATAAACAAAGGTAAACAATTACACAATTCACTAAAGAAACAACAGTGAAGAGTTTCTATATGCATTTCATATGTTAATATATTGCGCCACTAAACGATCCGTTTTTATTTCAGGATATGAACACATTCTTAGGGCAGTGAAATGTCTTTGCAGTCAGTTAGAAGTGATATTTCAAGAACAAGAAATAGCTATAGAAACACGATGCAAATATCTAAATGTAGTAAAAATGGTCATGTATTTATTTACAGAAATAATGAAAACAAAAGATGCTAAACTCACCGCGGATGTAAGTTTTTTCTAAAACCTAAAATTATAGCCATATCTCTCATACATTATATTTTTTTGTCAGTTATAAATTTTTTATATCACAATATTGGCTGATTTATTCATTTTTGTAGAATTCTACAAAGCTAACATTAGGTAAAAAAGGTAAAGTTAAGAATACCGATGAGGAGTTTTGTGGTTGGACGGAGTCAGATAAGCTGGAAGCCTTAGTGGCACTGCACATGCTGGTCCAGCAGCCACTGTCGAGACTGTGGGACCCCCCACTGGCTGAAGATAACTTTGTTGTGTGAGTGTATTAATTTGGTTATTATTCAATAACTACATTTGTAGTATAAAAATCAGATTGATTGCCCACTTTGGAATGCAAATAGTATTTGAGTCTTATCTATTACTTGTATTCTAATTCTGGTCTGTTGGTCCCTAACCATTAATTTTTCTCTGACAGAGAACTGCACCAATATATGTTTTTTTTTATTATATTTTATTTTATTGGTACTTTATATTGTTTTTTCTTCCAGTATGGTAGCCTATCCCTGCTACAAAGCACTGGAAGAGCAAATCATAAAAAACAAAACTGTCAGAGACACAGTGTTCCAAGTGCTAGGTGTGCTGGTGAAAAAGTACAACCATGGTACTGCCTGCCTTATTAAATTAGTTCAGGTATGGGAATAATCTTGCTTCTTACTAATATTACAAATGTGAAAGTTTAGATGGATGGATGTTTGTTAGAGTTTGAATTCTAAATGGCTGAATGGATCTCAATGAAATTTGGCATAGATATAGAGGATAGTCTAAAAGAATACATAGGCTACTTCCTTTTCTTTATTTAATTCCATGCAGATGGATTCGCCGGTTAAAGCTAGTATGACATTAAATACATGTATCATTTATTTGGAAAATAATCTTTGTTTTTTTTGTAGACATTAGAAATAGCGGAACATGCAATATCCCCTATTTGTGCAGGAGTTGTACAGTTAACAAAGAATTTTGGACTAGGCACGTTTGGACCGCAAATGGTAAGTTTTGATGGTTTTTAATTCATTTTTCTATCATGTGAGTAGTTTAATACAAGTTACATGACAAGATATGATAAATGAAATGAATGTAAATTATTTTCCTATTAATTTATGTTAGTACTTTTTAGGTGCGTGAAATAGAAGTATCATTAGCATCGACGGAGGAGGAGGCGGGCGGCATGGGCACGGAGCAAGGCGCCGCCAGGAACTACGGCGCCTTCCTGCTGGAGCTCACCAAAGAATTGCCCAAAGAAATGATCAAGGCCATAGAAACGTTGCAGCCCTATTTAGAAACTGATGAGGTATAAATAACAAACACAAGTAAAATTTAAAAAAATGTAGCCAATGCTACTTACTAATAACAAAGCTTTTTAATGGTTAATTTTTGGTATCGACCCAGTAGTATTTGAGTTATTCCAATACATACAAAAATACTAATATTTCCTCTTTATAATGTAAGTACAGACTAGCTTTCGCCCGCTACTCCTTCCTTGTGGAATTGAAAAAAAAAACAAAAATACGTATCCTGCTGTTGCCTGAGATCCATTAGGCAGTTTAGGCTACCTACTCTTATGAACATTCATCTAAATATTCGCATTTATAATATTAGTATAGATAATGATAAAGGCCTGTGTAAATGCGAGCGGTGTGGTGTGTGTGTGCGCAGAGCTACACGCTGCGCATGACGGTGCTGGGTATGATGTGCGAGGTGGTGAGCGCGGAGCTGCGCGGGGAGGGGCTGGCGGAGGAGCAGCGCGCGCGCCGCGACGCCTTCCTCGACGACCTCTACGACCACATGCACGACCTCTCCGCCTACGTAAGGCACAAGGTAAATCACCTTCAATATAATTATAGTTATCTCTTTAATATTTAGATTTTACAATCAAACCTGTGCTAATAGTGTTTACTATACTTAGGGCTTGTCCCACCAAATTGTAAATTGTCTGATAGCAATCCAACGTGTAAAACGTGTGATAAAAATATCGGATTTTGTTCCCTTATTTGACAGTGACGTCATTTTTAAGCTATCTGAGCCTCTATCAGCCAGCGGTGGGACAGACCCTTACATTCCTATTATAAAATATATAATAAATACAAACAGAATTATAATCAACAAAAATACGGTGAAAACACAGTGCGAAATTTTACAGTACCTATCCTAGTAATAGTAATATTGTTCTTCTAAAAATCAGATAATGCCCTCAATACAATTTTATTTGTATCTATAGATAGCATTAACCAATGTTAATGCAAATAAAATTGAGAGATTGGAGATCATTGGATCTATACAAAGTCTAAGGAGACGAAGAGGGGGCAGCTACCCTTTGTTATTTGAAGTAGTTTTTATGTCTATTTTATAATTTTTTGGTTTTCTTGTTGCGGAGGCGACTTGGCAGCGCCCATTAATGGCGTTACACCACCCATAGTTCCACCGACCCAGGGGAAATACGGAGAACTTGTGAAGATTATTCATTGTTAAATTTTTAATTGTAATGGAGCAGGTGCTGCAGTTCTGGTCGCGGCTGCAGCGAGAGAACAGCGTGCCGGTGAGCAGACAGCACGCGGTGCTTCAGCGCGCCATCGGACGACTTAAAGATAAAGCCGCTTTAGTCAGGAAAGCCGCTATACAATTACTTAAGGTAGGTAAAAAAAAACCCTAAAAAGCTTTATTTCCACTATACACGGCTATTTATTGTTGAAGAAAATATCCTTTATATAAAAAAACGAATTAACAGTTAGCAAGGAATTTTTGTAAGTTTTTGTTATGCTTTTTCAGGTTTTCCTCGAATGTAACCCATTCTCCGCTCAATTGAAGTTAGATGTTTTAGAAGAACAATTAGCAAATGAACAGAAAATTTTGGACGATCTGCAAAAGAAATTAAATCCAGGGCCGGACCCGGAATTAATGAAAAAGTGGGACAAAATCGAGAATGATGTAGTGGATACTATAAAAGAGAAAATGGATACACTAACTCAGGACGAGCCTGAACTGTCGCAGGCGACGGTGGAGAACTTGTATGATGCGATACGACGCAGTCTGAAGGAGAAGAATTACTTCAAAGCTTACTTAATAGTAAAACATACAGAGAGGCAGTACCCGGATGCTAAGTTACTGCGATGTGATATGCCTAAAAGTGATCAGGTATGAAAGTAAATGAGTTTCATTTTATACTAGCTTTAGCCCGCGACTAAAAAAATAACAAAAGCGAGTAGCCTATGTGTTTTTACAGACTATGTTCTGCATTTGGGTCAAATTTCATTGAAATCTGTTCAGCCGTTTAGGCTACAAACTTAAACAAACATGCATCCACCCATCTAAATTAAATATATTTAACTAAATATTATTTTATTTATTTATATATTTGAATAGACATATTTTCCCAAATAGCCTTGTATCCTTTTTATGCAGAGAATATTGACTTGTTTTAACAGAAAAAGAAAGTTATAATTCCGTTATTGTTTTAAAATAATTTACAGATTGATTACTTCGTTGCGTTGCTCCGAAACATTTTCATAATCCCTGACCGCCGGCTGTCTATAACGTCGTCGCAGCAATGCGAGAACGAGCTAGCGCTATACAAACGTATGGAAGAGAAAGAGAGCATCGTAGCCTTCCTGCAGGAGTCGATACAATTCTGTAGGATGATATCGGAGGCTGTGCCCCTTGTGAATTCCTTGCTGATGTCTAAACAAGCCGGGGATGTCAGTGAGGCCATTGACTTCTTCACCACCGCTCACCACTTCAACATAGAGTCCGCTAAAGTGGGCGTAGCTAATATGTTGCTACTTGTATGGTCACCAGACCAAGTAAGTATATAGTAGACAAGTTACTGTCTACACTACATCTAATATTATTTCTGCTCTTATTGATAAGTACCTTGTCGTCTATACTAATATTATACAGAGGAAAGATTTGTATTTATGTATGTTTTAAAATAACCCAAAAAGTACTCGGCCAATTTAAAAAAAAATCACCATTAAAAAGCTACATTATTAGTGAGTAACAGATTATACTTTAATTGTTTTTAATTTCACGAAGACGAAGTCGCGAACTACAGCTAGTTAATAATAATTTATATTGAATTTTAAATGTTAAACATACAAATTCATGGTTTCTTAATATTTATTATGTAGAACAAGTAAAATATTATCATAAACCATATTTTTAACCAAAACGTTCTAAATTGTCGTTCAAGTTCTAACACTACGGATGTTAAAAATAGCAACTTTTCAGGAGAGAGAAAAAACTGCATAATTTTGTAAAGATACTATACTAATGCACTGTTTGTGTATACTTTATTATGGTTACATTTTAAGTACGTTCGTCTTCTGATTCTTAGAAGAAAATGTGAAAATAGTAAAAGAGACAATTTCAATGAGGAAATGTATTATTTTGAAGGAGAAACGTGAATCAGTAGAGCGCGCGTACCGGGAGATGTACCTGGAGAGCGAGCCGCGGGCGGAGCGCGCGCGCGCCTTCGCCGTGGCCAAGAAGCTGGTGTCGCTGGTGCGGCACGTGGACCGCGGCGGCGCGCTCGCGCTGCACCACCTCGTCGACAAGTGGCTCGCCAAGGACGACATCGCGCCCTCCGTCATACAGGTAACAGAACACCATTCAATGTTTGCTGTTGCCCGCGACATCGCCCGCGTGGTATTAGAAAACAGACGAACTATGTAAATAACAAAAAACTACGTGTCCCTTGGAAACCGGGCACTTTTTAAGGATGTACCTTTTATCCCATGTGTACTCCAGACTTTGATATCTGTGCGAAGTATTAAATAAGATATGTTAAACCGTTGCAGAATTATCGAGTAAACATTAAAATACAAAATGAATGCATACAACGGAAACCGTAACTATTTCCGGGATAGAAAGTAACCTATGTGTTCTTCCAGACTATGCTCTATATCTTTACCGAATTTTATGGAGATCCGTTCAGCCTTTTAGGCTACAAACTCCAACAAACATCCAGCCATTCATCTATTTTAATACCGCATCAATTTATAATATTGTGCATCATGAAACATTTTTCGTTTTAGGTGTTTTGGGAAATGTTTCTCAAGAAAATTGACGGTACAACGGACGAGGACAGTTACGCCGCTCTCTCCTTGCTGACTATGATAGCTAAAGCCAAGCCGTCGGTTGCTCTCGCTAATCTAGAAGTCATACAGACGCACGGTCTCACCGGCGACTATAGAACAAGAAACTTTTGTGTACAATTGCTAACATCACTATCTAAGAAGGAACTAAGATATCCCGCAGATCACTCGCTAATGAACTCCGTATTCGATAGTTTAATGGAAGTGTTCAATAAATTTAAACACTTCACCTCGTTTGCGGCGAACTCTATTGATCTAATATACGCTATATGTGATACACCGGATGTGGTCTGTGAAAAACTATTGGTGGAAATGTATAAGAAAATTGAGGAAGGTACAGTGAAAGATAATGTGAATGAGGAAGATATAAGCGTCCCAATGGAGTTGCTGATACGTTTTGTGTTCATGTTGGGTCATATAGCGCTGCAGCATCTTATATATCTTGATATTAGCGTCTACAGCGAGCTCAGGAGACGCAATCAGGTAATCTTTAGTAATCTCGCTACATTTTTGTATGTATAGTCGAGGAAGTTTATTTCCTAGCTATAACCTACTTTTCGCCTTTTTAGGAATAGAACTAGCTTTGGCCCACGAATCCGTCCGCGTGGATTTAAGTTAAAACAAAAGTACTTAACCTATATGTTCTTTCAGACTATACTCTACATTTATGTCAAATTTCATTGAGATCCGTTCAACCGTTTAGGCTACAAGCAATCGCAGTGGTAGTGCCCGCTTTAACATCTTCGCACGAATGGGCCGGCTCGCCCGGTGCAATACCACGACCACACAGAAAACAGGCGTGAAGTGAAAACAATTCCGCGTTTCCTCTGATGAGTGTGGTGTCGGAGGCCTAATTTCTTTTCCCTTTCCACCCTTTTCACAAGAGGAAATGATGGGAAGGAAAGGTAGATTTGACAGTGTAGGAGACGCATATGAAGGGGAAATGTCCTTTTTATGTGCGTCTCCTTCTCCGTCAATTAAAGGTAGGCAACGCATCTGCAAATGCGGATGTTTATGGGCATCGGTCGCTTTCCACTTCGGTGGATTCAGGTAGCCGCTTGCTCGTTTGCCGCCTTATATTATAAAAAAAACATCCATCTATATCTAAATGTTTGCGTTTATAATATTTTAAGTAAGATTTAGTGTGATGTGTGTATGTGCAGGTGCGGGAGGAGCGCAAGGCGGAGGAGAAGCGCAAGAAGAAGGCGGGCGCGGCGTTCGCCACGCCGGCGCGGCGCACGCGCTGCGACGACCTGCGCCGCCACACGCTCATGAACGCCAGCAACGCCAGCGCCTCCTCGCGCGGACAGCGCTCCGCCAGCGTACTCTCTAATAAGGCATCCACGGTAATATACAGCTTTTTGGAAAGAAATACAAGAAAACAGTATATTCTAATATGTTGGCAGAAAGATGCATAAATTTTTTCATTTATGTGTATATTAAGTGCTACATTTATGTAACTATAATGATGCTACTTCTCACTGATGTTGCAGATGTACAAAGGTTACTTGATGTATTAACCCTTAATATGAGAGTTATTTGTCGCAAAAAGCAAAGATTTTTAGTAGTACTATTTTTGTATATGAAATATGAATGAAATAGAAATTTTCTAAATTAGTTGTTCGTCACACTGGACTATAGAATTGAGAGTTAAGGTTCTTCGTTGTGATCGCGCACGATAGTGTACCATATGTGTTAAGGGTGTGATCTTTCGCCAATAAACTGTTTCGGCAGTTTGGCGAAGTTATTTATATGATATATGCAGGTGAACACAACGATGACGGAGGAGGAGGCGGGGCTGGAGGGCGCGGCGGCGGACGACGCGGACGCGGAGTACGTGCGCGCGGTGTGCGAGCGCGAGGTGGTGTGCGGCGCGGCGGCGCTGGCTCGCTACGCGCCGCTGCTGCGCTGGCTCCTCGCCAACCCCGCGCCCCTTGCTCCACAAGCGCGCGCCGCCGCCGCGCTCGCCTACACCAGGTACCCCCCTACGCCTACACCTACCCCTTCTACACAACTACATACACGATTATTTCTAGGATTTTACTCCATTTCTTCCACAGAAACAGCCATTTTGCCCATAAAAAAATCTTGTGGCTTGTTGATCTAGCTTAAAATGTACACACTAACATAGTTGTATCCATACATAACTGGTATTTCTTTATTGTAAGCCGAGTTGCCCTTCCTTGTCTCATAGCGTGTATTTGCTTTGATCTTAAAGTAGTTGCGACAGGTTATGTACAGAACCTCGTTACATATTGACTGAATTTCTATCCGAATCTGGCTTTAACCTATGTTTACAGGTTCTGTATGTACTATTTATTCCTTTTTGCTATTAAATTTGTATCATATTAATATGTCATTGTAAATTTCAATAGAAATATTGGATATACAAGCGATGTACTTTGATGTGTTTTCGTATCTGAAGAAATAAAATATCCACTAGTGTAATAAATGTATTAACATTGTAATTTTTAAATAACAGATTCATGCTGGTGTCCAGCAGCGTGTGTGAAGAAGGCCTACAACTTATAGTCACAATTCTCAAGAAATCTAGGAATGTATCGCTCAGAACGAACCTGACCATCGCCTTCGCTGATCTTACTCTACGTTTCCCAAATCTTACGCAACCTTGGACGTATCATATTTACGATATGTAAGTAATTTAAACAAAATGTAAATAGATTAATGAGTAAAACACCTTACTGAAAATATGAAAAATTAAGGAATAGTTAACTCAATTTAATCAATTAAAGATTCTGTCTCTCTCTGTTATTCTCTATTCTCTATCTATACTAATATTATATAGAGGTTTCGGATTTTTCTATGTACTGAAATAACTCAAAAACTACTAGGTCGAATTTTAATTCGTTCACCATTAGAGAGATTTATCTGTGAGTAACATAAGCTATATCTTTTATTAACTGTTTTATGGGGACGAAGTCGCGAACAATTAGTTATAAAACACGACTAACTCACGTAAAAAAATCGGTATTTGTACCAAATAGTTTAGAACCTGTTCGTGGTCCTTGATCAGGGTGAGTAGTTAACCGGATTTGTTTGCTATCGCGTCGCCCCAATCAAATTATATCTCCTTTTCTTTGGATTTTTAACCTTTAAATAAACTTTTTAGTTTGAGTGACGAGGAGCTCGAGGTGCGGCAGTGTGCAGTGAAGATGCTGTCGTTCCTGGTGCTGCACGAGATGGTGCGCGTGAAGGGTCAGATAGCGGACATGGCGCTCTGCTGCGCGGACAAGGACGCGCGCGTCACCGCCATGACGCGCTTGTTCTTCAAACAACTATCGCAGAAAGGCAACGCCCTGTACAACGTCATGCCGGATATTATATCAAGACTGAGTGATCCGGAATTAAACGTCCCTGAAGAACAGTATAGATATATCATGAAGTACGTATTCGAGTAAAACGAAATAGAAATTTAAAGCGCAAATGGTTTAATGGTTATGGGGTATGGGGCCTTTCTTTAGTGGTCGTGGGTTCGAATCCCGCCATTTGACTATTGCAAACCATACGTTTATTACAAGCTTTTTTGACAAACCTTACCCGGAACGGTTACACAGTTGCGATAATTCACAAATTCGGATTATTCCCTACCTTCACCCCGCTCTGTCCCCACGTGAGAATAAAAAGTTTCATCCATCCCACCTTTTAGTCACACTATTACCATTATGGTGACAGATGGAACCGTTATGAAATAAAATAAGTGCCAACCGTCCCATCGTCGCAAAAGGTGGGACGGATGAAACTTTTTATTCTCGTCTTCCTCACGTGGGGACAGAGCGGTTAGGAGTAATCCAAAAATTCTTTTGACACTATAAAATAGTGATTAATTTTTTCAGATATATAACATCACTAATACAGAAAGACAGACAAATGGAAGCTTTGATAGAGAAGTTATGTCAGCGGTTTAAATTATCAACCGAAGAGCGGCAATGGCGGGACTTAGCGTACTGCCTCTCGCTGTTCTCCTACAACGAGCGCTCGCTCAGGAAGCTGATAGAGAACATGGACTGCTACAAGGACAAGCTGCACTGCCCCGGCGTCATGGAGTCCTTCACTACACTCATCAACCAAACATCCAAAATGGCCAAGAATGAAATAAAGGTCTGTAAATGAGTACAAAACACGTAACGTTCCATCGCCTAGGACTACAATAACTGTTGAAAGCTGTTTTGAATATAGATCGTTCTAAATACAATAAATGCGAAATATAATAGCATAATAAAAATAACATTTAATGTAATTTTAATATAAGTTTTCGATTTTTGTTGTGACAATAAGTTACAAACGGTGAAATAATGAGCCTGCGCTTATCTATCATTACTTCTATACTTATATTATAAAGAGGAAAAACTTGTATTCGTGTATAAATTGAAATAACTGAAGTACTGCACCGATTTCGAAAATTATTGCACCATTAGAAAGCTATGTTATTTTATTATTATTTTTTTTTTGCAATGCGGGCAAATTCGCGAGCAAAAAATAGTATAGCAATATACCTATAAAACTGTTATACAGGCATTAGTAACAGAACTAGGCGACAAGATAGAGGAATGTTTTGCTGTGAGGGATGCGGAGGAGGGCGACAGAGAAGGTAGCGACGGCGCCGACAAGCACGCTGCGCCTAAACCTACGCCCAGGAAGGCGCCGCGACGCAACAGGAGGCGGTCTACCTCCAGTTCGGATGAGGAGGTACTCACAAAGAATTTCACTTTCCATTTCAGGTCATCATACAGCAATCTCCAAAAGTGCTACAATTTGGCATTCATGCATGTTAGCATGACAGGTTTTCGATCTAATTCATTATACGAATCTAATAAGTAGAAAATATCCTTGACGCGGTGATAATAGTGTAATGTATATGTTTCATAGAATGAGCCGCCGAATAAACCGCCTCAAACACCGCAGTCCATAAGAAAATCACGAAGAAAACCTGCTGCAAAGAACAAAACTCAAGCAGCTGATTCAGAAGACTCAGGTAAGTGTACTATGTTTCTACACATGTTTATTATGCAAAAAACCTGATGATTGAATGTTTAAAAATTCATCGATTTGCCTGATTTTTTTAAAGTAAATCTTTTCTCTATATTTTAGATGACGACGATTTTGAAAAGAAAACAGACGATGACATTTTCAAAAAACCGATAACACGAAAAGGGACACGTAGGCGAAACTAGAGTTCGCAAACATAATTTTTAAGAATAATTTTATTGTGCATTTATTTTCTTAGCGAAAAAATTATAAATAAAATGTTTCTACATTAACTGGTTTATTGTTTTTAAGTAATAATATGCATAGCACCAACTTTCCTCGAAGAATAGTCTGATTGCGCCTGCAATGTATGAGAGGAGAAAGTTTATATTGCGGCAACATTTTCAACCAAAGTAATTTGACATTTAACCAATAACAATTGTCACCAGGGGTGACACCGCCATACAAAATGATTAATAATATTGTCCTGGACAGCGCTGACGCTCGGTTGAAGTTAGGTTATAATTTCTGGGAAAAAGTGGTTTTGTTCAGTTTATATTGTTGATTTTATCTTGTTGAG